CCTCGCAGCGGCTCGATTAATATATTCGTCGATTCGCGCGATCTGTCGGTGTAGGCGTCGGCTCGGAACATTCCGGCCAGGTCCGACGCATGACGGACCTCGACGCCGTCATAAACGAGGGTACGCGCGCAATTTCCCGAAAAGAAACGGGTGAACCAATTAGCATTTAGATAGTCTGGTAATAAATAGACCTTATCTCTCTCGTTTCTGGCTCTCCTTCTCATTTTCTTCCGTAACCTTAAAGGGGATCGTCGCGAGAGCGAGTTCGGTATAGGCACGTTTCCTTCCGAGACGATCCCGATTCGAAGGCCGACCCCCCAGGCTCCCGTCATTTTCTTCTTCTTCTCGAAGGCGGGGAAGAATCGTCCCTCCTTGCGACGCGTCCGGAAACAAAAGGTCGACGAGGTAGGAAACACGGTGCGCTCGTTAACGGGCACATCGAGACCCTCGGCGACTTCGAGGCCTTCGACGCGCGAAAGTCCGCGGTGCGCGGTCGGGAGATGCGAAACGGCGGAAAATAGGGTAACCCCTCGTCGGGGCTCGTAATTATGGCCCTAATTAAAAGAAGATTCATTAAAACTTACCCCGGCCCGCGAGTCCCTAGCGATAGTATAATTTGTCTCGTTACCCCTCGTCGGTGCAGCCGGGTCGCCGGAATTCGCCGAGACTAGCTTCCTCGTAATTCGCCTTCGAACGATGCGTCGCGACGCGCAAAGGGGAGGACTCGCGAATGGCGACGCCGACGCGGTCGTTACCGATGCAAAAGAGCCGCCTTCGGCGCGACTCTCTTTAATCCTTGGCTCGCAGTACCTCCGTTGGGATTCTTCAAACCGTATCGACGCTCGGCACTCCGGTGATCCTTTGACGGAGGATCTTTGCAAACCTTGGGGCAGAAATTGGTTCGAGAATCGCGTCTCGACGATCGCCGGTGCTCGTCGGCCGGGGAAGAGATTTGACTCGGAAAACTCGGGAAAGGTTTCTCGTGTAGTTGTCGGGCGCGGGCGGTAACGGATGATTCGGACATATCGGGTTGGTTTATTGCCAAAATTGTTTCGACGTCGAGGTCCGCTCGGCCGCGATGCCCCGGTGGAATCGCGGAGTGGATACTTCGCGTCGAGGACTTCGGAGCATTAATCAGCGATCGTTCGATCTTGTATTTGGCCGAAACTGTTGGTTTTACGATAGCCCCCTCCCGGAGCGATAAAAAGCACGCTCGGTCTCCCGTAGATTTATGCACGGCGCAAACAACTCCGACCGAATTTGCCGTCGATACGCTTCGGAACTCGGTCAGCGCTCGCGGCCTCCGAGAATTCAAACGGCGGGTGTCAATTTGGCCCGGAAATAAGAAGAAGCGCGGGTTCAGCGTTGTTTCCGGTGGCAGTCCCGGTTTCCACGGATGTCATCGTCGACGGGACTCGGCGCGCAAAAATCTCTTTCGACCCGTCAGTCCGCGAAAATGCCCCGCTAAAATAATGACGGTTTAATTGCACGCTCCCTTTCGCGTCGTCGTTAACGATAGGGACGCCGTTGGAAATACACAAGTCATCGATAACGTCAGATTACGATTCGCTTTACGATTGGGAAGCTCGTTACCGTCGTACGAGGCAGGACTCGTGAGGAGATATACCATCGAACGCTTCGATGCGTTGAATCATGGCCATCGTAAAAAGGATCCGCGCATTGACGCGCGCGAAATGGAGCACCGCGATGTCATCGCCGGAAACTGTATACGCACGTGGTTATCGTCGAGGACGCATAACGGAATCCTTTTACGTTTACACGCATACCTCGCGTTACGGTCCGCGGTAACCAGCGTACGACAACGGCCGCGATTCGAGACGACGGAAGGTCGGTTCGTAAAGACAAAGACCGGCAACGCGTCGTTTAGAGGAGCGACGCGTTTTGTTGCGGTGCAAAAGTTGAAGAAACAAAAAAGGCGCCCCCCTCGAGAATGGCAAAACGATGCCTCGGTCGTCCCGCGGTATATTCTACCGGGTCGACGAACCGGAACGCGTATATTTCATGCCTCACCGAGGCGTCGTTACTCGGAGCGCGGTGCTTTGAAAGGCCGTCAGCCGGAGTCTCCAGCGTGAGATCGCTCACGAGCCTTTAATATTTAATAAATAATTAAGGTAACGTCCTACGACCTCGAGCCGGGAGCCCGCGCGGCCAAGAATGGCCTCGTCGGGTCGGAGCCCTCCGCGAAGGAGCCCTCGGTCCGACGAGGTCGAATCGCGCCTCGCCCTCGCTCGAAATCGCTGATCGATCGACCGGTCGTCGACCCGCGTTTATTCCTCGATAATTTCCCCTCAATTTTAGGGAATTCGGATTTAGAGGCGAGGGGAGTGGATTTCCGGGCGTCCGAGGGCCGACCGGAGCGCGGCGCGGTGATTCTCGCGCGGGACGTTTTCGCCGAAGATGGATACTTTTACGGAGAAGGGAAGCTGTCGAGCGTAATAACGGCACTGCGTAAGTGCGACACGGCCTCTCGTTTACTCGGGGCCAATTCGGTCCTTTCGCGAAATGGACACTTGCAGTGCTCATGAACCAGTCAATTTCGCTGATTGCACCGTCGCGCTCCAAAACGCGCGACGGAGCGCGCGTTCGCGTCGGGTCCGCAGTCGTTGGATTACAACCGACCGAAGTCGTTACCCGGAGCTCTAATTTTGGGGCCGGTTAAATTCAGTTAGGTGGTTTCAGGTAACGAACTCGACTGCCGTTCGTTCGTCACCGCGCAGGACGCGTTCGCGTAAGTTTCCGCAGCCGCGTGTACGGTGGCCGGGCAGTCGCCGGGGATTCCCTCCTCCTCCCTGCCGTTCCTCTTTACGAGTGCTGCGCGCAAAAGTCACCGGCCTTCCGGCTCGGTCGAGTTCGTCGAAGTTGTGGAAACGAGATGGATTTTTGTTTCCGCTCGGCCCGCCCCGCGGTGCTTCCAGCCGGTATAAAATAAGGCAGAAATTATAATTGCGCCAGTCGTTATTTGTTCGCGTTTAAGCCCTCGAGCTAACGCCGCAATAGGCATAATTCACGTCCACTGCATCCTCTCATTAACGGACCCGGCGCAACACGGTTGTTTCTCGCGGTTAAGCCAGCGCGTATTCAGACCGGCGGCCAAGGGGGACGGAACGAGGGAGAAACGGGAAGATAGACGGAGAGAGCGGGCGGCGCCGAATAACGCTTTCGAATTTTTAAATTTACCCCGGAATGGCGGCGCCACGGAAGACGCCGGGACTCAAATTAAATTCTACCGGAAGCGCACTCGGGTTTTTGTGTAATCTCGAAATTGCCGAGACATTCGGCAGGCTCCTGTAAAATTTAATTACGAGATTCCTCTCGAATTAAATTGCCCGCACCTGGCAAACGTGGGTAAATAAATGCGGATCCCACAAAGGTCGCGCAAGGGCCGGACCGGCCGGCCAAGGGACGTTTAGGCGACGGACATTTTTCTCGGCAGGGAATACGTGCCGGCGATCGATTTCCTCGCAATTTCCAACGTGTTCAATTTCGCGGCTCGTATCCACGGCTGAGCCCCCGTGCGACTGCTCGCGTGTATTTGCGCTCGTGCGTGTTCAATTAAGCTCCGAAACTGTTTCCGACAGGGAGGCTGCGTCGCGATCTTCAAAGGCCTACCGTTTTCTCGGTTTCTCCGGTAACGACCCCGCGAGCTTAATGTCGCGGCACAAAATTGGAGTTTCCCTCGACGAGGTTCTTGCGGAACTCGGAGAAGCGCGTGCGTCGTTAATTCGAGAAGAAGCGAAAGTAGGACATATTTTTCTTCCGAGGGAGCGTAACGTTTTTCATACGCAAGACGTCGACGCGATTTAACGTCGTCGGATAACGGATATCTCGAAACGCGGGGACGTCGCGCCCCCGAGAAAATTAGTCTCTCTCTGAATTTTGTCCCCCTTCGCGTATCGACACTCGTAATTTCTTGGATATTTTCCTCGGAGAGACGTCGGCTCTCGTTAACGAATCTCAAGTCCCGGCTAATTAGGTAGACGGTCGCGTATCCCTGACGCGTACGGCATGCTGGATATCAATTTCCCGGAGATCGATCGGTCGAACGTCGTCCGCCGCCGGGACCGGTTCGACGTCCGGGTGGCTTCGCAATTTCGGAGCCGTCTTCGAGAAGGGCGGATTCGAAGGCCGACTCGACGGATCGGAAGAATTCACCGGGGAATCGTGATCTCCGGATTACACTTTAATCCGCAGAGTAAATTCCGGGAGTGCGAGGAAGACAGGAGGGAGCGCGGCTCACCGCGAGTCGGCTTTCATTGTTCCTCTCGCGCGGGGATGATAACAACGGGCGGGGAGGTTTTCGTGATTCCCAGGGGTCGCGTTAGGGTCCATAGAAAAGTCCCGGTTCCGATAGCCGCGGCATTAAAATTCCGGAGTCGCATTCACGGGGCGGCGGAGGCGTCGACGGGACGCGACACAATGGCCGAAGGGCGCACGGCGCGGCAAAGAAGCCGCGTAAATGGATCGTTTTAATAAGTTTAAAAGCGCGCCGAGGACGCGGCTCGTTTGCCCTCGCATCCGTGAAAGAGACGAGGCGTCGGGCCGGAGACGAAATTGTCATTCGCTCGAGCGAGGGGTGCCTTCAAATGGGAGTTTTTCCTCGAGGAGGAGCTCGCGGTCCGCGAGCCGCGAGCGCGGCCTCGTTAACGGGCGTTATCGAGCTCCCTCGGCGGCCGAAGTCTCGTTCGTTCCCGTTGCGGCCTCGCGGGATCCGCTCGACCCGGTGGCCGCTAAGGAAGATCCGAGGCTCCGCTTTTATCGGAGGCCCGCAAAGAGCCGGGGGCTCCTCGTTGTCTTCGGGCTAAGAAATGTCGCCTTCGCTCCCTGAATGCATCGGGGAAACGTCGGACGTGTCGTTGCTCGCGCTCGCGGTTTCGCTAATTGAGCCAATCGACGGCGGCGCCGCGGGGCTCGGGGTCGGTCGGACGAACGCTCTCTCGGTACAGAAGAATATTTTCTATTTCATTTTTACAGGTGAGAGATACAAAACGTTCGATAGGTAGTAGACAGGGTCAACGCTTAGTGTAAAGTCCCCCTTTGCGCAAACGCCTCGCTCTTCGTTCGACTCGTCTTGATTTCCGGCAGGCGTCGTAATCCTTTTCAATTCCTTGAGCCCGTGGCGGGGGTACGGAGAGGGAGATAGATCGAGAGACAGGGAGGGTCTTGAGAGCTCGACGACGTTCGGACTCGATTCGAGCGGTCGATTAAAAGTGGACGCGAGGACGATCCGTTGGATCGTATTTGCGATCGAGTGAGCCATCGTATTCGATATATCGCCAACGGGACGTGCAACCTTTCTTTGACGCAAAAAATAAAAAAACCCGACTATTGACGAACCGCTGACCGGACGTTCGTAGGTTCCCCCGTTAGGCGAAGTCGAACGACAACGGCGGATCCAATTGCATTTAGATTTCCTTTCTACGGATTCATCGGCTAGAAATTGACCCTTCGTGGACGGATGCCATATATTTTATGGTCGAAGGACTAGGAGCATTTATTTGTAGAGACCGATGAGAATAACTTGGCTTCAAAAATACCGTCCCCAAAGGGTCAAAGCGCATCGTCGACGTTACATTTGTAAATTCATTCTTACGCTTAAGGTAGAACGATAAGATCGGGTTAAGTCTCGCAAGAAATCTGCCCGGGTGACTCGAGTGGTCGAATAAATGATTACAAATAGCCCTAGAGTCGTTTGCGGTAGAATATCTAAAGGTTCGATCGTCGATCTCTTTCCCCGAGCGCTCCAAATGCGCTCATCCTATATGGACAGTTTCGTTCGTCGAGATATCGTTCGATAACGAGGATCGGCGAAGCTCGACCGCATCTCGTGCAGCGATTCGTACCTTCTAACGGTGCTTTGCGCGAGTCTGCATCTCTGTAGACAGTTAACATTTATTCACAACCAGCTGATGATTTATGCTCGATATCTATTTGTTTCGTTAAGATCTATTTCGAAGAATTCCGTTATAAATGCAGGCGCGTCGATTGTCCCGCAAAATCGACACTTTCGCGATCGAAGTTAAACTGCAAGACGATCGGGTAGACGTTTACGGGAATCAAATGTTTCCCTCGAATTTGTGCGGGAGAACCTAACAATTTGTACTTTGTGCTAACGTATCCGGTGAGGTATAATTTGTACGAAAAAATGTCATTCCTGGCTTTTAAGGGGCAGTGATCGTTCGGCGGGACAAACCGCGCGCCGTGCACGCAAAATATATCTCACATGTATGGTACATATATGTACATAGAAAATTCTGTATATATATGTAGTTCATCTTTCTAAGACTTATAATAACTAGGTAACTTGAACGCGTGCACGCATCGGTAGAAGAAAGCTTACGATTCTAGAGGAAACACGAATAACCGGATAGGAATAAAGCCGATCGACGTGAGACAATAAATGAGTAATAACAGGACAAGGGTCGATCGGATGTTTGAATTTTCGTGGAACCTAATCTTCTCGCTTCTACGTTTCGCGAGGTTGAAAACGGTACCTTGGTGAAAAATATTTTCCATCCGTTTTTTAAACTTCGTTGCCAACTTTTCGAGCCTCGCAAGACTCGGACTTGGCAAAGTTTTGATTGCTCGTCGAAAGTTTTGCACGAAGAGCTAATAATTCCAACTGAAATGAGTAATACAATTTTCTCAAGTCTCTGTTAACATTAAAGGTACTACGTCGCCGAGAGCTGAAATCGCGTGGCCTTCTCTGCCGATTTAATGGAGTGCAACATGAGAATCCGCCATGACTCAGCCGCACTTTGCTTTCAATAGTAACAGTTTCGTTATTTGTGTAGCTATTCTGGCACATGAGCCGGGGTGCCCTTCGCCGTAAAATGGATATTTCCTTGTTTCGGATGTTAAGTTACACCAGGACCGTTGTGCCAAGTAGCTACGTATATAACGCGTCAAGAAAATATACTCGCCCCATAAACTCAATGCGGCGGAAAGATGCAGGTGCAGGATCGTCTATAACGAGCCTGACGCGCTGCATCGTACTTAAGTGTACTCTACCTCTCGAATTATAAAAATCTTAATACTCTTCCTTTCTTTGGACTAATTTCAAACGAGACGTAAGTCGAGTCATCTAGAATCTCTAAGTGCCGCAATACAATAATATATGCCGGCGCAACATTGATAATAAATACTTCTCTTAACGGTACGTTCTCTTTATGTACGCTGAAATAGATCAACAACGATATAGTAATTTTACGGTACAATGATTACTCGGTATGTACACTGTACACGTCCTTACGCTTGCACGTAGAGAGGTGCACGTGCCCATGCAAACGCGCGTTCTTACATTGCAATTTATGGATATGAACTCAACCCGCGTTTGTATGCGCAATCTTTGAGAACGATGCACACAGGAATTTTTGGCATCAAATTTCTCCAGGGAAAATCTATTTTAAAGACCGCTAATCCATAGAAACTCACAGTTTACAACAGGTTCGCGATTTCTATAGTCCTTTTCGCGTAAAGTGATATTGCAAATTCGGATTATCTTTTAGTGGGCGTGTTAAAACGGGAGAAGGGAAAGTCGCGAAGGAGAGGTTGGAATTTCGTCTCGAAGACGAGGGGCAGACTTTCTCCGAAAATCATAGGGTGTTTCTTTGAAGGATAGCAATGGTTTTACCTACACCAATAACGTACTTAATAATACGCGGAACCTTTGATTATAAAAGAAGAATTTGATTGATAGATTTGCATCGGCCCTTTGATTACAAATTTTGGACATTCCTTGGTTTTACTTGAAAATCGAGAAATAGTAGTTTCTTAAAGAAATCTTAAGGAGAGTCGATCACATTGAGGTTTGCTTTGTTTGCTTCTTTGTACTAGAAGTTCATGGTACGTATGTTAAGTTCGGTAAGCTTAGTCGATCTAAATGAACACGCGGATAAAGAATAATTTACATATGCTTCTCTTGGAGACTCGTAATCGTGAAAAATACGTTCGAGTTCCCAGACTTGCGTTTCTACTCTCTCTCGTCTCACAGTTGTCTTTACAATTATAATGAGGTATTGAAGTATCAACAAACGCATAGCCGAAGTACACCGGATGCACGAAAAGATGGTAGAACCTTGACGTTTACATCCTTCTGCAATTTAGCTTGCGAGATAAAATATCCCCTTTCGCTCCGTATCGGTGACTCTCGCTAACTTATCGTACGGATTATAGTATACATAGTTCAGTTAAACAGAAGTCTTGTAGACGTGTAAGTATTAAGATAAATAGGTACTCGAAATTGTCCAATAATTCTGATATGTTTTACCAACTACTCCGGCTCGACAAAAGCTTATACGTCGCAGTCTGTCACAAGTGAATCAAAAGATGCTGGCGAGCATCGTAATTGCGAATGCCATGCACAGATTTTTAACGTTACTCCGTCCGCGTCACCCAACAAGAATTTCCTATCTCGTTTCGAACGAAGATCGCGATACGAAAATTGGAAGAATGAGGAAAAATCTAATACCTATTCATAGCTTAGAGTCTAGGTTTGATCGACGAATCAACGTATACCGAATTCCCAGTAAATGAGAGAAACACCAAACGGCGATTCAAATATTTGCCACGTAGTACACGTTGGTCGTATAAAACTCATCGATGTCGAGAAAAGACATAGAAAATTGTTTAGAACAATTTGTCAAACTTTCGGGAATCTCTGCTTGGCAATCGCGAAGGTCGCTTCGAGCGAGTGTGACTAGAATGACAAATGTGACAGCTTTTAACGCTATTGATTGTCAACACACAGTGTTCCTTCGTCGCCTGAATTCGTCTTACGATTAGTCTTTAATTTCTTCCGTTCGGTTTTTCCGTGAACTGACAAACTTATAACTAGAGTTTTTAATACTGTCAGCTGAGTTGCTCGGGCTAATGTGATTTCGCGATCCAACTGACTCGTTCGCTCGCATGAAATCAAACTTCGGTGAAAGTTGACAATCTCGTGATCATTCGGAGAATACCTATCGCGGCGCGTCAATAAGATTTCTTTGGCATGTTCATCAAAGATTCGATGAACCTTGTACTCTAACTGCTGCTTCGTTTCAACGAACGTCGAAAGTAACGAAAACCGAATCGAAGACAAGCCGGAGTCCTAAACCTATAGTAGACTAAAGCGAACAGCGATATTTCGGCACCTTTGCAGAGGGCTCGTTTAGGTACGAAGGTAAGCAGCCACGAAGGTTTGCAACTTTTCGGTCAACGTACGGATCGACGTAACGTCTCGAAAAAGTATTTTTGTATTGGAAAGTTCATAGCCCGAAATTAATTTTTTAACGTCGGTTGACCGATCGAAGGCGGAAGGTTGATTACCGTCGAGCTGCCCAGTCTGGAGGTCCTGGGTTCGATCTCCAGAGACATTCGATATAAATCCTCCTCCTCGAGTAGAAGGGCCGTGTCCAACAAGTAATTTGCAACTTTTGGAATTAACTCGATCTTGTAAGGGGTCTGTTGGAAGTGTCGTATCTCTCGAATTACATGGGCAATCTGAAAGGCAACGGTTTCGTTCTCATATGTAAAGGGCTGCATTTACACGTTTTATCCACAGATATATATTATTCAATACCATTCGCATTTTGGAGAAGTTGAGAAGTCCATCCTCTGTAAAATTCGGAGTGCCTTCCTCTATGAAGGAGAGATCCGTCAAATAAAGCCCCAAATAAGGGATGCAGGGTGGGTCGCAACGGTGCAGAGCATCTCTTAGGTTTCTGAAGCGTCCGTCCGAAGAAACGATGTTTTGTAGTCTTTCGATAGTTTGTTTAGTCTGGAAATCAATTACAGAGGTAGTTTAATAATTTTTTATGTCAACGAAACGTTGTTTTTTTTAGCGCTTCGAAGAACTCACGGTCTTGGAAACTTTCTCCCAGGTTTTTTTGAGTCTATAGACGCTGCTGTTCGTGAAGGCAGCGCAGATCTGTAATACCCCATTGTAATTGTGAAAAACCCGACTGATGTCGGCTACCGTGGTCCACTTTTCGATTGCAGCCACTCTGGCGGACATGTTGGATCGGCGAATAATTTCGGAAACTACCAACTGCGAGACCTCGTTGAACCTCTTGGTCATTAAGATTATGTGCGGTGCCCGGGTCGCTTTGTCAGCCTTCATCCATGCTTGTCCGAGGAATTCTCTGAAAGGAAACGGTCTTCGTTAATGATTATCCGTATGCACGATCATCGAACTTCGAGGAGCGGATTGATACCGACTCGCTAGCTATGGAAACAAATATTTGGTGATCTAGATAGGTCATTTGCTCGGCGATCTCCAGAGCTGACAGCGCCTCGATGCTTTCCTTGCTTTGCACCTAAAAATATACAAGTTTAAAAATGGAAAAAATTTAAGTAACTCGCAATGGCAATAAAATGTAAGTTTACCGCAGATGGCGCCAGTAACTTCTTCAGGTCCACCTTACTGCTTTCGGGTTCTTCTTTCGTTATCAGCCTCAACAGTTGACTAGCGGCTTTATGCTCAGCCGGAAGTAAATTTGGACTATATATGATATCTTCCAGGAACTCAATGGTCAGGTTTTTCAGTCTCTGGTCCATTTCAAAATCCTGAGCATGCTTCGATACCCAGTGTCTGAGAACGTTGAGTACTCTCATTGTTGCGGCCGTTGACATGACGGACTCTTTGCGTCTGTTCTTATCGCGACACGATCCACTACGGTTGCTTCCATCGCTGACGCTTCCTCTTCCAGGTGCCATGTCAGGGGGATTGCTGGATGCTGACGTTGCTATAGCAAACGCGGTTGCTGCACCAGATGTGCTGCTCCTAGTTCGCAAAATCAAATTAAATCCACATTATATCTGTATTCAAGTTGTGCAGCGATTTGATCTAATCCACTTGTTTAATTTTTATTTATTTTATTTTTTGAACATTTTCAATGCGTTCCCATTTATTCGTTATCGGGCCTTTGACAATCTCGTATTAGTTTTGCCTTTTTAATGGTTGTAAGATGCACATTAATCTTTTTTAATTGTCGTGTTTGCATTTCTATCGGATTTATGATTTACGACTACAGGGGTGTATGAACTGCTCTCCACGGTTGATATAGCGCCACAAACCTAAAATCTAAGGTGCACATTGCTACATTGGAAATGTCATTCGCACGTCTCTTTCACTTGAAGGTAGACTTCTCAAACCGATCGGTTATTGAAAGGTAGTAAAACCTTTTTAGGAAAGTAATGAATATTTTAATCCCGTCGTCCTGTTCTTCCGAGGAACAAATAAAAAATCGAATATTGGGGTGGAGGGCAGACATTTAAGCATCTACATGAAAATATCATCCATGCTTTGCCATCGGAGTGCCATTTAAGGTTGTAGTCTGTTAAGCAATGCCGTATCTTACCAATTACTTTTTGCTTTAGTCGTGTACGTATTTAGAAGCACGGTTCGTGCACTACACAAATACTACCTCATACCGAGAGTACGGATACCACACCTACTTACCATAAAGGTTCGTGTCCAATGCTATGTACGACCCAGAACAACATATGAAATATACTTTAATCGAAAAGAACGATAGAACTATTTTCCCGTTTCTGATTTTTTTTTCTTCGTAACGCTAAGCACTCGGAGTGTCTAAGATAGAGTCGTAGAAAAGTATGTAGATACGGTTCAGTAAGAAGACGAAGCGTCCATGCCTAAGAAATAATTGTCATTGCGACATTTGATTCGTGACGATACAAATATGACACTAGCGGTAGAAACGGAAAAAACACTGCGACAACCGAAACCAACCTTCGATGACTCAGGCGAAAACTGGTAATGACCACTCCAGCTTTACTGGACACTTGTTGAACATCGTGTTGATAACTCTGCTGAGAACCTCCCTCGCTGTCCTGAATGGATCGTCTGCCCACCCAGTAATTCTAAAGGAACGATTATCTCTCGTTTAACATTTTTTCCTCTCCGATTTAATGAATTACTCTTGTCAACTTGCATCAACGTACTCCGGTAATAGTTGAAATCGACCCACTCCTTATAGACGTCGGTGGCGCGGAAACTACGGAGGCCCTATGTTCGGATGCATGGTGACCTTGCAGGTTAACGTGATGACAGTTATGATGACAAAATTCAACCGAAGCATTGCTCTCGTCCTCGATCCACCCTTGATCGTCTTTGTCGGAGTGTATTCTTCTGCCCCTCGTAGATCGCGGAGATTTTGTGGATCGATCGGCTTTCGGAGATTTTGGCGACACGGAAGGGGGGTCGTCGTAGACAAACTGCACATCTGAAAATGCGGTATTCTAAATTCGTTACAAACCGTGACCGTTCTCTAAGGCGAAAGGGTGATCAAGGGTGAAAACGCAAATGGGGTGCTGACCGTCCTTTGAACTCGCATCCGTGGCCGTAGGAGTGTCTTCCGTTTCCTCGGAAACGCCTCTAGAAATCGAACCTCCATCCTGAGGACTAGGATCCGATCCCGATCCCGATCCAGATCCCGTCGAACCGACCAATGTCACGGAACTTAAATTACTCGGCGATGACGGTGCACTAATTACCGTTGCATCTGCGGTTAAACGATAATTATCCCGACGAGAACGAGGCGCTACGGTCAAGGGTCGGGAAAAAAAATGGAGATTTTCACCGATTACCTGTGAGAGTTTCGGCACTCGAGGATACCGCGATCGACGACGGAATAGTGAGATGATATCCGTCATCCTCGGAATTATTATTCATCCGAACGTTTGCCCTTCGTTGCACCGACGGCGACTGCCCATCGTCGGATGCACCTTGCGATTGAAAAGTGGGGCTACGTTTGATGATCGGCGGAGCCTCGGAAATCAGACTCAACTGCTGTTCCTCCTCGACTGAACATTAAAGAGGCGCGCGTAAGTACGCGAACTCCGTCTCGTTCGCGTTTTTAAGAAAATGAAGGAAAGGATGCACGATCATGGCCGAGACATTAAAGTTTTCGTTTGGTGGAATACGCGGAGCGCCGAGTTTTTTCCGATCTCTCTTTATTTTTCCGTAATTCCGCAGGTGATAAAGTGGTATTTCGAGTCGAGGGTGACACCGTCCGATTCCGATTGGAGAAAAGTTATACGAGCTCACACTTTCGGTAGCCAGACCGCCAATGGGGCTTTGCGTTGGGGGTCAGAGCGTTCACGTTGGATTCGCAACACCCGTGGTTCCGTGCTTCTCGACTATCGCTCATCTCCGATACGTATCCTACACGTACACAGTTTTGCGTAAATATGATTTTTACTTTAACATCAAAATCGTCGGAGCTTTCACGGGTCTTAATTCGGTCGGAGGACTCGCGCCCGTCAAATCGATCCGCGAAGAATCTACGTAAGCTAGCGGTACTCGAGGGAAACGTCGATCGATGGCTTACCGGAAACGGAACTGGCGACGCTGGTTCTTCCGAGAGACACGCTGCTTCTTCGACGCTCGTCCACGTGTTGCGAATGGTCCCCGGAAGGGTTACCAAGGGCGTCCAACGACCTAAAACGGAGGAAAGCGCGTTGAGCTCGGAAGTTCGGGACATTAGCTTCTCACGAATCTTTCACCGCGTATTCCGAACGATACTTACACGAGGGAACCACTCGCGGGTTGGGCGTCCGGGGGCTCGGCATCGTAGAATACTTTCTTCAGAGCTTCCAGGACGGTGACACCGTCGGTGAAGACTCGATACGTCAATAGAAACGTGTTGAGGAAATCGATGCTGAGGAAGCGTAGATCCGTCAGTCGTTGAAGGAGACGCTCGGGCGTGGCGTAGCGAATTTGCGGGACCTTGCAGGAGTTCAGTGTCCGACTGAACCTAATGTCCACGTCGTCTTTGAACAGTTTGGGATCGTTTCGGATCGACTGGGGCATCGTCACGGAGCTCGTATCCGACAGCGAGCCATGGAGAAGGTCGTTGAAGCGAACGTTGTCCATGCACTGACTGATGTCGCTGATCCACGCAGCTTTTTCCTACAAGATTTCATGTAACGTTTTCATCATGCATGAATGCATGTAACGCGTGGATCCCGTGTAAGTTTAACCTTGCGACGCTCCCGCTTGGCAGTTGCATGCAAATTCGACCGGCAAAGAATTACCTGCATGGTCGAAGCTATCAGGTGAACGGCAACCGGAGGCCCCCCGGTCTTTACATCTAAAATGATCTTAAAATCGCGATTCTGAAGCTTGTCGCCGCCACCCCCGCTGCCACTGCCGCTGTTCTCGCTAATTCCACTCGACATGGAGCACACCGACAGTTCTGGAAGCAATCGACGACCCTCGTGACACATTGTCAAAAAAAAAAAAACCTTCCACATCTGACGTTCTCTTTCCCGACGAAACGAAACCGAGGACGCTCGGTGAAATCGCGGCATCGAGATTTGCCGACTCGACCGCCGATTAACGCTCGCGTACGCGATATGCGTGCACGCACGTTGCACACACCCGAGTGTCGGCAGTGACGCATATTCTCAGGTGAATACGTTAACGAGCGAGCGGGCGTAACGTCATCGAACACGCGAGATTGCCATTTGACGTACCGTCATCGTCCACGACGCCCTGGTCGCTGGGGTCCTCTATGAGCACCGCATCCGTCAGCGGTATTTTCCCAATTTGTGGTACCAGGTTCAGACGGCCGTCGTCGTCCGATTGTCGAGTCGCCAGTATCAGGTGATTGGAGAACAGAAAGCACTGCCTCACGGTCTCCTTGTCGCCTCCTCCTTTTCCTCCAAAAGTTGCACTGAGACGGCTGCGAGCCCCCCTCGGTTTGTCCGAAATTTGTATAAGTGCCCCTAAAAAATAGAAATTGTTAAACATTTATTTTCTAGAACATTCGATCGTTCGGTTCGTCCGTCGATACCCAACGAACCCCCGTGGTTATAAATAATGAACTTCGAACCTTCGTCATGGAGAAGAACAGATCCCTGGTATACCTCATTAGACGTGCTCGTAAAATCACTCGTGTTCGCGAGGTAATGTCAAATGTCAGAACGTTCGTGAATCCGATTAGCAACGAAAACGCGTAACGCGCGATCAGAAAAGCGATATTAAGGGTTCAAAAGAGGTACCTGATCCTTCGGATGGTCCTTCCGTCAGTAAATGGAAGGATTTCGGTACGACCCCGGGCAAGACACCACGAATACTCGATTCCTTTATTCGCGATCTTTGGTCCCCGTATTTAACACTTTGCACTCTTTGGTCCCCATATCGAGAAAAGGTCCGACATTTCCTCCGGGTGCACTTAAGATGCTATTGCTGTCGATATCCTTTTTTTAAGGCGCACTGCGTATACGCACACACTCCGAATATCAAAATGGCACCTAAGCCAAGGCGTTGTTTTCATCCATGGAACGCCTCCGCAACTTCGAACTACCAACCCCAACGGCCTACTCGTCGGAAACACGGTCGCGGGCTTTGGGTGGAAACTTGGAAAATCGCAGAAAACTCTTTACACACGACGGACGAATGTTGAAGGCAACGAGTGAAAATCCGATGAATTTAGAAACGGAGGTTGTTGCCACATGCGGGGAAAAAGAGAAGCAGGACGGGCTCTTGTGGTAACCATGTGGCATGATATCAGGAGCGCGATATCAGGGCCGTCTCAGGGAATCGTTTCCCAGGGGGTCACCACTCCCTTCCCTAGCGCGATCGTTTCGATACCACCCAGGTAACCTCGAAACGTTACGATGCATTTCTTATTTTTCGTATGTGAATTTGAGAACGTAACTTTGCATTCCGAGTTTTTCGAGTAAGAGGAGTGCGCGTTCAATAGCAATACGTTCAAGTCCATTTAACGTCTCGTGGCTCACTTAGCAACTCGCGCTCTGAATCGGACAGGCAAACGAACCTGCATCTATCGAATACAAATTTTGTTTAACGGGAATACATATTTATAACTTTAAGACCAGGGATTTTCATCGGTTACGCGTTTCGCTAGCATCGTTCTCTGCCTCCGTGACGATGTACCATATTTCTACATCTTGCCTTGGCACCTTTTATTGCTCGACCCCTTCTTCGAGTGATTTTCTCGACTTTTGTAAGGAGCCTTTTCAATTTTCCTTAAACCACGGCCCTGAACGATGAGTTTCCATTGCGCAGGATCGAAAACGAGCAAGGGGACTTGGAACAGGGGTTGTATATCTATAGGTATTGGATTCATCGATTCCGGCCGAGGCACGGCCGGAACGCATGCGTACGCCCGTTCGGCTAGGCTTTAGGGTCGTTCCTTATATTCCTACCCCACGGAAGTGACGGTAAAGACGAGCTTTTCCGTCGAGCTTTTACCGACGGCGAGAGAGGGTTTTCGAACAGGGCAAAGTGACCGACGAAGACGGTGAACTATGTCTTGAATTATTCAGCTTACCGACCAGAACTCCTTCGACGCAAAGCTCGCGAGCTTGCCGACGTCGATAGTTTAGGGAAACCGACGAGATCGCTCGAATTCCCTGCGGCCTAAGGAACGAGTTTCATCGGCTAGGAGTTGAGACGTACTCCAGAAAATATATCGAAACGAAATGACACGTACTCGCAGGATGTTGGAACATTTTTATAATTCGCCGACGACTAACGATCTTATAAGCTCACCTTGCCTGACGAATACTTGATTGACGTCCAGCAAAATGTCACAGCCTTCGACGATCATTCTCTCGACCGCCAGGTTCTTCCGCAGGTTTTCCGTCTCGCTGACCTAGAGTCCGATGGCGCGATTTTTAATGGCCGGTTCTCATACTGATTCGGATGCGAGAGCACGTTGCTCACCTCGTCGTGCATCTGCCTCGATAAATCCTCAAGCTGTTGCCTTGCATTTTGCAAGCTCTTTCGCTCCACGTGGTCGTGCGGGGTGTGCGCCAGAAGTTCGTGAAGAGTAATGATGTATCTAGGAATCTGGAAGGATTTAATAAATTGAGCGGGACGCCAAATCGAGCCGCCGTTAGAATTTCAGATGGCACCGCGATGGGTGATACGAGGGTTCCGCTGAAAGTAAATCTTAATTCCCCTAAAAGCGCGGATTCCCCGTCGTTTCGAATCGCGCTCCGCCGATAAACGCCCATAAATCATACGGTTACTGATTATAAGATAAAATTCCGATCTCTCAGGAGAGGACGTAATTTCACGGCACCGACTGCTGAATGGTCGGCGAATGACGCGAGTCTCGATCCTTTCGAGTTCTCCCGCGCTCGGAGACTCGACTTCTCCCCTCGGCGTATTCATCGAAATAACGCGGAAAGACGGGACGGATGAACATCGAGTAATAGGGGTGCCTCGAGGACGAGACGCCGCAAATCTTCTATTTAGGGAGCAACCGATAAATTGGACCGGGTGCAGAGGAAGGATTGGAAATAAATTGGATTACCTGATGCATAGGATAAGTGAGAAACGTCTCCAGGGAGCGACCCTGACAGGCGGGCTTATTCTCGAGACGAGAGAGCAAAGCTGCAAATTGCGGAGAAGACTGTTTGCACTCGGTGAGGACTTGCAGGCTGTAGTGATGATTACGCACGTACTCCTGGTAAATCGAGAGCATCGGCAGCAGCATGTCGAAGAGATCTCCTGGGTGGAAAGGAAAAGAAGATTTAACCGGGTCGCGGGAATCCCTTTTTGGCGAGTTTCGGTCGATTCGTCTCGGACAATCTGCTCGTTACCTAGAACGAGAGTGGGCCAGCTGTCCATGCGCGAGGTCAAGCCTTTGAGGAAGATCTGATGCAGGAAGAGCACGGTCTCGCTATTGAGGAAAATGCTATTGACGTCCTCGTGGCTGCAGGGGGGCTTCTTCGAGCTGGCGGCCATCTTGAAAGGTCTCAGGAAGCAGCTCACCAGTACCTCCATTTGCTCGGTGTATTCCTCCTCGGCCTCCACCATTTGGAAGACCAAGCTGCGGAACGGGCGTTTTTTCTGCGGCTTTCGCGAAAACTTTCATACCGAGAGAACGGAAAGTTCTCGCAAAGGCTTTTACCGCGATGCGCCCGTTCAACGGGCCGTTATACCGTACGAGGGCGGCGAATTCGGGACCAAAGCGTAATGCGGTAGCGCGACCGAATATTTCCTTTCAAACGAAAGGTTTCCTCTCGAAATTTTGCCAAGTGTCGGGACGGAATGTCCCGCGCGGAACTCGGACCGTGAACGACATCGTAAAACACCCGAGTTCTATCGATTCGCGTCCAACGCGGGCACTGCATCATCCGAGAAAATATTTCCGGCGGATTCCGAGTCAAGGTACGCCGACGATTCTTGTAAATCGACCAAGATGCATCGTCCGTTGCGAACGTACTCGAGAGCATCGAGTTATCGATCGAGAACGATGACAAATTTGTCAAACCGTCTTCAATTTCCCGCAGAAAACGCTTACCTATTTCTCTTGCGCATGCTCTCGGCATGAGGGCTTTTTATGTACTGCTCCACAATTTGCTTCCACCGTCGCCGGCATAACCAGCCCCTGAAGAAGCTCTGAACCTTCTTGATCTTCCTCATCTCGACCGAGCCTTCGGGTATTTCCCTTAACCCCGATGAATTTCCCTGACCGGTCGCGCCGTTTCCTTGGAATTCCGAGGGGAAGGCGTCCGCATCTTGAGCATAGTTGCTCATGCCTTGAATTAGGCTCTTCAGGTTCTCGACGCCTGTACCGGAGTACGTCATAGGCGCCACAGTCGACAGCCGCGGCTCCCTCTTCAGCGAGCACACCTGCCAAAGTAACGCGTTGTTCTTGACAGTTTTTTTTTTTTCTTGGATTTATCGATATTCCTACGTATTCGCCCGATCGATTTTTTCCATGGACTCTCGTCGGAAAGATGTGCATACTCGACCCAACCTGCGAATCATGTAACGCTCGACAGCTCTAATTGTCTACTCGTGCGCTCGACACGGAACTTTTCTATTCGAGAAACGAGCCGAGACAAAGACGATGGAAAATGTACGACCTCGGAGAAGATTTTCCGTTTGACGGTACCACCATTCTCGCGCTCCTTCAATGCCTAGATTCCGACCCACTCGGAATTCAAAGGGTGAAACGAAGTTACGTATTCATTTGTTCGAAACCCTGAAATCTCGTGGGAGGGACTCCCCGGCCGTAATTCGGTTTCACGGGTGTCTTATTGATTCCGGACGGCACGTTGTCACGGCAGGAAAGAAGGAAAAATAATGCACAAGACGTGCGACTTGCCGAAGCTGGGCGCAGGGGGCCTACTCGGCGTAGAGCGACCTACCATGAGGCAGAGATACGAGAGTTTACAGCGGCACATCGATCATCGTTTTCGCGCTCGAGCCGTGAGGTAGTGAAAAGTACGGTGGATGTAGGTACGCGCATACGAATACTACGAATAGAGACTCTTCGAATAAACCGAGGAATATCCTCGATTTACGCTAAATCTTCGGGAAATGCTTTGCCACGAAGAGGATCGAAAGATCGGGTCGAGAGAATCGCGGCAACCTATTTTTCCACGCGAGCTAACTCGGTCTTCCACGCTCGAGAAAACCCCCAAGACTCGTGGAAAGCTCGCGAGGACCCGAAGCTACCTATTCCGCTCAATTTATTGTCTTCCCGTCTCACCTCGGCACGAAGCTCCTTGACTTCCAAGGTGAGTTCCTCGCACTCTTGGATGGACTGCCATTTGGCTCTCTTCTCGCTCTCGAAGATCTGCAACAGGTGCAGATGCTTCTGCTCGACCTCTTCCTTCTGCAGCAGCAACTTATTGAAGCTGTAACAAGTCCGTAGTCGGTGACCCGTTTGGAAACACTTTTCGCTATCCTCCCTTCATAAATCCTCGAGTGCCATGTCAAATGATATATTCGGAAAGTTTCGCTAGGGGAGGGTTACTCGTTATTCCCGTGATCGCGCGGCACGGGAATTTATGATTACATCGTGGAAGTTACGGAAAAGGGAAGAGGGCAATTCGATGCTGTGACTGGTGGCAATTCGTGCAGCGTTCGTGCATGCCATTCGCTGGCAACGGGGTGAGACGGCGACGACGACGACTCGCCCTCTATACCGGCTATACCGGCTATACCGGCTATCCCAAATCGGCCCCAAACGTGTAATAATTCTGGTATCGACGGAGAATCGCTTTTTCTTAAAGATGCGTCTCATTTAATTAGACCGTTATTTTTTCCGTTCGTTCCCTCCGTTCCCGAGTGCCTCTACTTGTCTCCCTTTTTCCTCTCGAAAATCTGCAACAGGTGCAGGTGCTTCCGCTCGACCTCCTTCTGCATTGTTGCAAAAGGAGGTCGCTTGTCGAAGCTACGACGCGTTCCCACGCGACGTCACCCTTTCTTACGTATCACTTTGATATTTCTCTTTTTCGAATCGACGATTCACTTGCAGCGCGTTAATATTTAATCTCGGTCAAAGGATGTCACTTTCAATACCCGGTTTCTATGTCGCCGCGCCACTTTAATTTTTCTCCCTTCCTTGAAGCGGCACACTATAAATCGGCGAGTACCTATAAAACTGCAGAACTTATCGATTTTCTCTGTAAGCAGAAAAGAGAGGAGGCAATGCCGAGAGTATCTGAAAGTAAAACGCGTTCCATGTAATCCACGTTAATCGTTCCCTTTAAATTGGAATCAAAGCGATCACGGATGATTTCCACTTAAAGGGATTCGCGACGTATGATCAAACCGCGAGATCGAGATCAACTGAAAATTATTTGTTTTCTTTGCCAAATACGCGAAAAGAAACGTTTGGGAAGCGGGGAGTAATTACGACCTCCTCTAATGTACGTCGCTGCTCGTAGCGTACCTCCGATTGCCACCGTCAGTGGAAGGTAGCTTGATTAATTCCTCACCACTCGGTACTTAATGCCGTGAAATCTGAGCTGTAATTAGTTGAAAATCTCGTGGCTTCGCAGGAAATCGCTTGCAGGTGCAAGCGAGAGAGAGTTTTGCGCCGTGAAATCATGAACTATGTGAAACGGGAGACTTTGCCGCGACAGGATCTAGAAGCTCGGTGAAACTTGCATCTTACCGAGAACCGCCAGAAGGCGTCATAAATCATATTGAAAACTCGTTGACGAGGTGAGAATTTGTTGAAATTGATAACGCGCTCTACCGTAAATTGCGCGATCTCGGTGTCGAAAATTGTAACACCCTTTAAAGTTGCACCGCCAGATGGCAAGAAGCCTTCTCGTTGACGACAGTGGGTCCGAGATGAGGTAACCGCTCGAAAGCACCATTACGTCTTACCTGGCCTCTCGTATCGCGTCGATCCAAGTTTTACAGTCAGTTTCCGAGGCCGCCTTTAGTTCGTACTGCCGCTGGTTTTCTCCTCTGTACGATACGGCGAAACAATGCTGCAACAGAATTGAATTTCCGGTAATAAAAGAGCGGTGCCGGTCGAAGCGACACACGCGACCCTTCGCTGTCGTTCGCGAAGTCATTTGGAATTTTAAAGGGATTCCGGTACCCCGAGAAAAGTCCGTGAAACCGTTTCCCCGGCATTCGATTCGGCCGCGGTAAATCGGACTCGGGCGAAATCGTGCTTCGCGGGGTCGCTTAGACGCCTTAGGCCGCGCGTTGCGAACGTTTTCTTAAAGTCAACGTTTCATTAATGGAAAGCCTTAAATCGTGCCAAGGCAACTTCGGGTGGCACTATCGCAAATTGCATCAGTTTCGATCGTACTTTCCGGGCTAGAAACGCTCGGCTTACATCGGGAAGGAAACGCGGAACAATGGCGAGGTCGAAAATCAAAAAGAAACGCAACGGTTCCCTTACGTGTGGTGTGTACATATTATCAAAGAAAACCAAAGCGTCGTACGGGGCTTTTCGAGAGAATGGGAAAAGCAGCTCTAACGGTGCCCACCCACAAGGCAGACCGATATAAGACGCCCGCCACCTTCGAAGGTCTTTACCTCCCTCGAATAGAATTCCCCTTAATTCCGCCATCGGAGAATGCGCGAGCCAATTGAGAGTGAAATTCAGGAGAAGGGCGAAGAATGTACCTAAAGTCCGTTAAGGGTACGAACAAGGTATTCCATACCGGCGGATAGTTGTTGCAAAGAAGCTATTTCCTTAGTCGAAAATTGTTGGGAATGTAGTTTTTTCCTCTGGAAACTTACTTTGAGAACTTGGAACTCTCGTTAATGAGGATCTCCGCTTGTTGCCGGAGACTCCACGGAGGAGAGGAAATTTCTGAAATTCCGGACCATCGCGTTAAAGTGCCCCTCGAGGATCTACCGCTTCCATGGGCATTCAGTGAATTAATAGAAACGAGTTGCAACTACTTCCGATAATGAAAGTTTCTGCACTTTCCCCAACGAGTGCAATGTCGTCTTGGACCCAAAAATAGAATTCCTGCATTCCAAGCGCAATTACAGGAAATGGTGCACCTTGTTTCACGGACGCGTCGTCGTAACCATCCTCCCTCATAGCTCCCCGTAAGCTTTCGTCGCGAATTAAGGCGCGCAAACGAGAGAAACGTGCGTCGTTTTCCGTCTTTTCACCTGCTCGAGCGAGTAAGTACGGCTAAGTGGCTGGCGTTTAAGCGCGTTCACGTTCCGCAAGAAGCTTTCGAAAAATCGATCGGATCATGGAAGGTGGACCTTGGCCCATATTCGGCGAGAGTCCTCCACCCTTCGGAGAGCACCTATGCAGTATGCAGCATCATCCCCCGAGGCGACGGAGGGTGCACTGCTTCTCGGTAACGCTAGGCGGTATTGTCGCGGGTGTTCGCCATTCAGGGACGATGGCGGCCATTGTTGGTCAGGGATCTCAGGGGATGTGATGGATCCGCGACAATGCTTTATTGGTGTCGCTCCATCCACTTTGTCGTCACCAATTGTCGGGACAACCGGCCAGTGGCAACTCCATCCGACGACGCAGCTTTGCGTTCGTCTCGACTCGGCGAGAAGACTTCTTTTTATTCCCTTTACCTAAGTCGCGATCCTTTGACTATAAACTTGCCAGCAAGCAGCGACCGTGCCATCCTTAGGTCAGCATCCGTCCGTTAAAATCGAATCTTGCATCCGTTCGCGAACCGGGTACGTACGTTTCGTCGGTCTGCGTGTAATTTCATTAAGACAATGCCGCAAGGGCAGCCAACTACGTTATAATCGGTTTCAAAGGACTGTCAGGATACGTCGTCTGCTCGACTGCAATAATACCAACTGCGTCCTTGTACCCGGCATCCAACTACATATGCATTTACCTCTGGATGGGCTGGGAGGCTTTAGTGAATACTCGTCTAAAGCCTACACTCGAGGACGTGGAAAAGCTGGTGCAGGCGAGTCAAGCAAAGCACTGGGGATGAAATGAAGATGGCCTTAATGCACTGCATTTACCCGCGTGACCGAAATGCAGATTGGAACGGAGTCGTTAGGCGCGGAGGCACTTTTCACCGTTCGCGGAGGATCTTGGACTTTATCGCCTCGGATGAAACGCTCCACCCATCGGGTCGTTAACGCAAACAGAGATCGCGGTTTGTTCGATATCAACGTCGGCCTCCTCCGGGAAGCTCCGGGCTGTCGAACACCGAAATCCTTATCCGATCTGGTTCACCCGACCGAAAGGGCTATCCGTGGATAGATGGGTATCCCGAGCCCGAGATTCGTAGTATACGTCGTCAATGACTAGGAAGTCGTAGAAGCTTGCGAAACAGCAGAGCGAAGTAGTTGGCCCCGGTAACGCGTAACTAACCGACGTTAAGCCGGAATCCCATCGGGGCTGTTACAAAGTGAAATCCGGCTAAACCGAATCGTCGTTTTACTCTACGCTCGGGAGGATAGCCCGGAAATGTTGATATCGAGAAACGTTTTTCCTTTTAGCGCGACATTAATTTTGGAGCTATGCATTTCCGATCGCGCGCGAGTCAACGTTTAATTATTTAACGATGAAATAACGCCCACGGTGCCTTATAGTCCCGTTTATCGTATCCGTGAGCAACGTTTACAAACCACCGAAGGGTGTTTCGCAACGATTATGCGAAACATTGTACGAAACGTCGTCTGCATGTCGCGCAATGAATACACCCGGACATTCCACCGAATGCTGCCTAGAGATTGATCGCACAATGTCGTAATCGTATCGCGCGTCGTTGTCGGTGCGCGTAAATCACCGCAAGTGCGCCTAAGGAATGGGTTTTGACTCCGTTGCACGACATCTAAACGCTCGTTACAACCGGAGCACGCGTAACTTTGAATAATCGCCGAAATTGGATTCGCCAAAATGAAACGCGAAAACGTGGATCATTAATTGACTAATCGAACGGGAAAGGTGGAACCCCGGAAAATTTCGAGTTAGCACGCGGGAAATCGATGATCCTCCGACCGAGAGACGTTTTCCTTTGACGACGCGCGAGTAATTAGATCCGAAGAAAATCCAACCGGGGAAGCAGCGAAGACGGGCAAACATCGGTTCCGATATGTTCACGGTACATGATCTCGACCCGGAAACACATCGAGATACAAAGGGACTTCGGGGAGAACCGCAGCCGACTAATAACGGACTGCCGAAATTCCGCATTCCAGCAAACGAAGGGTGAAAATCGAGGGGAGGATGAGAAAAATTGGTGGCCCGACAGAGTCGCACTCTAGGGATATTCGCGGATCCCAGCGTGGATGGCCGCGATAAATATTTGACGAGGATTAAAGGAAAATAATCCCCGCAGCACGGGGGGCGAATTTAATGTTGCCGTTGGCGCGAAACGACCCTCTCGCGACGGGTAAAGATGATTCCGGCGCGTTATGCCGGAGACTAAATAAATATTATTTCGCGAGACTAAACGTCTCGCCCCCCGCTCGTCGCCGAATAGAGTTTAACGCCGAGCCGCCCAAACGCTGCTTTTATCGCCGCCAATTTTGGGTCCACCTTTCTCGGTTCTTTCCATTTTTCCCCGCCCACCTGCGGTCCGGAATACTAAAACTTGTGGTATGGCGTAACTTTGCGTGCTTCGGCACGTGCACTTTCTAAGCGACGCGCCGTCACCGGGGAGGTAAACTTCTTTACGGAGTTACCCGAGGTGCGGCTCGTCTTAATTTTCCTCTCGAGACGTCCAACTTTTCGGATCGACGAGACTATTCGGCCGCGCCGTCACTCCCGTCGAGGGTACGCGGAGGACGGAAAATCGGCGGTGCGTCGATTACCCCGACGTAACGCGATTTGGCGTTTCCTGCATCGATTCGACGCGGCTCGTCGAAGCTCGAATCCCATCATTGCCGCGACGGCAAGTCGAAGTTCGGAAATCGTCCGACCTCCCGACCGCGAAGATTCGGGCCGCCGACTCGCGTCGCGTCCCTTTAAGCTCGAGCGGGAGGAGGTCGACGGCGGGCCGAGGCGCGAGTCACGAGAAAGACGACGCGGATGGACGTTATTTCCGGAGGAGCGATTCGTCCCTAAGACCAGGATCCGTAATCTCGATGCCGAGTCCCGGTCGGCGGAGTGCCGCCCGCCCCTCTCTGACCAGGTTGTATCGATTGGGCCGGGTACCGGGCACCGGGCACCGGGCACCGCCACCGGTCCAGGTGCGGCGCTCGACGCGGGGCCGGCCCTGCCGCAAAGTTCAAGGTGTTTCCGCCGTAAGAATCCCGCGGGGTAGCAATCGGATTTGCGCCGACCCCGTACGGCTCTCCGCGGATTAGCCGCGAGGCGCGCGGAGCGCTTCCTCGTCGCGTCGTCGGATACGGGACCCGAGGAAACGAGGCTCGGCTGAGTAAGCTCCGGCGAGAAGCTTATTTTTAGCTCGAAACAGAATCGATTCATCCCTTCTGATGCTATGCCAGCTGCCGCGCCGGATACCGGGGGGGGTTGACGCTAAACCCGTGCCCAGGGAGGGCGCGGACGCGACGCCGACGCGGACGCGGACGCGGACGCGGACGCACTCGCGGCCGCCCGGGAGGCACGCGGAATTCGGACTCTTTCCGCCCGAGTTGCCTCCGTAAACGTCCCATTGCGGGGATGCGGTCGCGGACTCGAACGGAGTCGATCCCTCGATTGGTTGCTCCGTGGTGGTTTGTCCGCTCGTTAGACCAATTTTCCCCCGAGGTTCGTCAACGCCCAGGGTTTAATTCCTGCTGAAACTTAACTTCTGAATTTTCGTTTCGGACGAACGCAGCCGGTTTAAAGCCGGAAATAACTGGGGCACGACGCTAAAGCCGCGCTCACGAGTGCACCGAACGAGACGCCGGCAAAGCACTCCGAACGCCCTTCTGGTGGACTCTTCAAACCCTTGCTCTATTCCGGTCGAGTTGCGAATTTTTTCGGACCGCTCGTTAAACGAGACCCGAGCCCGAAACGACTCACCGGCTCGCTCCGAGGAAACGGTGAAGCTTACTTTTGGGGCGATCGAGGGTTATCTCGGAACGGAAGTCGAATGAATTCCTAGTTACCATCCGTCTCATCCGATGCATTTCTGAAGAAGCGAGCGGGGGGGCTTTTTGAGAAGTCGTCGACGATTTCGAGCCCCTTGTTCGCCTTATCCTCGAAATTTGCATTCGCCGATCGCCAATATCCGGTTTACGGTGAATTTCCATTTCGTGTCAGGGCCGTCGCGAATTTCGTAAGCGTTTCCGCAATGGGGCGCGTGATTTCCTAAGGTAGGGTCTCGAGGTCGCGTATCGACGAGGAGCGAGGCTGGCGACGAGTTTCGATCCATCGACGAAACTCGAAGGAAGACTTGCCAATTCGACGATAAGTCCCGAAGGGCCGGCTCGAGTCTTTGATCGCGGTGGCGCGTCCCGCAGACCACGCACGACCACGTTACGTAGTTTGCCGACTATGGTCGTCCTATGCAGATTACCGCTGCGGCATCCGTGGAATCTATCGATCGCGGAATCCAGGAGAAGGAATTGTCGCTCGACCGTGAGCACGGCGCAAAGTCCATTTCAATGAAATTTCCGCATCGACTCCGTTAAGCCTTTCCGCACTTGCTCGAGAGCGATTCGTTCGCGGAGGATGGACTCGAGGTGGGTCTCGGTCGAATCGATAATTGATCGGGACGTCATCGAGACGCTCAGGGAACGCGATCGCGGAGGTTGCTTAGGATTTTCCTCGAGATGCGGCCGTCCCTTTCCGCGGGATTCGGAGCGCGAGACCTGCCCGGGTCTCGCTTCAAAAGGATCATTCGCGGCGTTACGCGGAAACGCGCGTAAAAAGTTTCACTCGTTAAATAGACCCCCGTTTGTGGATTCCGGCATGATATTTAATTAATTTAATGTTTGCAAGGGAAATCGCCGTCGGCGGAATTTGGAACTGCGTGGTTTGTCGGTACCCTCGAGTGACTTCCGGCAGTATGCGCGCGTCTCTACTTCCGAGTACAGAATCCGCCCTCTCGCCGTCATCAACGTTATTACTCGCTCGCTGGAGACATTTGCGGAGATAAACGTGGGAAAGGGGGCACCTTTCTCCGCGGAAAACGTTTCAACGATTTCACCCTGCTGAAAGAGAAACGTAAAACGACCGCGCGCGTGGAAAATTTGTCTTCACTCGCCGAAACGAACCGGAGAACATTTTGGCAGACGTTGTTTCTCCCGTTATTATTATTGTCATTTGTTTCGGACATCTAGAGTCAAGTATGCACGTTACCCGCGTCCCGCTCTCTTTTTACGTCCGTTCGCTTCGGCCGTAAGATTTTTGCCTAACGATGTCCTCGCGCTCTCCCGACTCTCGGTCGACTTTCGAGGCGTCGCGACGCCCCTCGCCGATCGTGGAATTGGACGACGTCGCAAAGTTAAATGAGTTTCCCACGGGGAAACGTCGTTGCGGAAGAAATATTCCGTTTACGTACTCTTCGCCCCATTCTCGCTATCGGCGAAGAGAGCTCACGCGTCGTTTCAAGGTACGCTCCTCGGGAGCGGAGGGAAACGCTTTTAGCCACGACTCTTATGGTTTATTAACGAGTCGATCGATCGAGAGCCGAAACGGTACGCAGAGGACGAACTCGATCCTTCTCGAGGTGCCATTTGAACTTTTTCCCTTGATGCAATTTTTCAGGACACCAGCGGTCCGTACTCAAGGATGGGGCTGCCGCGATGTTATCGATTGTATAAAAATATTCTCGACTTGGGGACCCCGTTACGTTCACGTTTTCGTAACGCTCGGAATCAAGTGGCGGAAGCTATATATAAAGCGAGAGAAAGACAGAAATAGAGAGAAGAGCGAGTCGGAGGTCGTCTCTTGGGAGGTGTGCTCTTCCCTCGTCCTCCCGTATACTCCCGTATACTCCCATGTACTCCCATGTACCCCCGTGTACCCCCGTACTCCCCCATACTCCCGTACGTTTCCGGGTTTTCAGCGAACGATCGATGGGTCTCGAGTGGCCCTTCTCGATCGTCACTCTAAATTTTCCCGACTCGAGGATGCCCGGCCGTTATATTCCGCATTTTCCCGTATCGTTTGCCCGGCGCGTCGTTTCGTCGCCCCTAAAGAATCGGTACCTCGAGCGCGAAATCAGTTCTTATCTGTTTTTTTTTCGCCGCGTACTTTACGAGCCTACTCGCGGGAATCAAGCGATTCGGGCGAAACGAGCATTTCCGCGAGGCAACCTCGCGACGAGACGGAGTTAACGTTGCTCCTCGCTGCGACGGTAAAGCTCAGGAGAGAAGGCTCTGTCCTCGGTCAGATAGGCGGCCCTTTTATGCGCACCACTTTTTACGGGGCTCTCGTTCACCCCGAGACCGAGGAGAAACGCGTGAGCGCGACAAACGCGCCGAATCGGCCGTTTTCCGCCGTTCGTCGATGAGGCACTTTGCCTTTAACGGCTCCCGTCGTAAACGTTTTAAACGCCGCGGTTTTCGTTAGCAGTTCATCTGGGATTTGCGGGCAATTTCGCGACTGAAAAGTTTGCGCTACCGGGGTCCTAAATCGACGGGAGATAGGTCCGCCGATCGCTCCCGCGAGGAAGATCGAGCGAGACGTCGAAGGGTCGAAATCACCGATACGCGCATCGAATCGTTATTAGCCGTAACACGCTCGACCGCGGACAGTCCCGAGCTTCGAGTTTCGAGTCTCGAGTTTCGAATCGCATGAAAGCTCGCTCTAATTGGGCCCCGTTAGCGAACTTTCGTCCTCGCTCGATTCGCGTTGAATTCGCGTTAAATTCGCGTTATTAGTCGCCGAGAACGGAATGCCCTCGTTCTCCCGTAAAGTGCGTTTTCTCCGTTCTCTCTGGCCCGTGCGTCGCGTAGGACCGTACTTCGGATGAGATCAAAAGTCAAGAGAAGCCGTCGAGACTATGGTTTCCTCATAATTGACAAGGCCGAACGGTATTCTTGTATTCGAGGTGAATGGGGTCGGTCGAGGTAGCAGCCTGTACTCAAGTTTTCATTAAATGGGGCACTTTATATACGTAGGAGTCTGAAATCAAAGGTAACGCGTACATTAGGCAGACGTCGATCCTAGGTATAATTTAATTTCCTTCCCCTAAGCGTTCCCTCGGACGCGTCCTCTCTTTCTGTCTCTTTCGTCAAGAGTTGCTTTTCCGAAGTAGCCTCCCTCTCTGGGCCAAGAGGGTAGAATTGATTCGCAACTTGTTGAATTTCGTTTCGTTCGGAATCTGCTCGCTCTAAGTCAACCTCTTGCCGTGCCCCGTTAAGTTGGACCCCTTGAAAACGGAAGGGCGCCGTTTTCCCTTTAAATCCGGAGAATATCTCTAATCCGCATTCCCAAATCGATCCTCGACGCGCGGCCCGTCCTTGCTTATTTCACTTGAGGGCTTCGAATAATCTTCACCGAGTAGAGCCTGTCTCGAGTAATTAATTTGCTAAGGCAAAATAAAGATGTTCTTAGAGGCAACGCCTCGGGACAAACCTCTGGGGTAAAATGTTTCTCTCATCTCGAGGCTCTTTCACTCGGTCTTTTCGTTTCAATTTCTCCTTCTCTGTCTTTTCCACCCTCTTGGTTTAACTCCTTAGGAAAGAACAGCCTCGGGATACCCTCCCTCCTGCTTGAATCGCCGAGCGAAACTCCGAGACAAGGTCGAGAAACAATGGCGTCATCAAGGACCGAGAACGCCGGGAGAAGACGCGATCGGTGGCGATTTTTGCCGGTCGTTATTTCGCGCGTTCGAGGAGACGTCATCCGTTCGTCGACGTCGCCAACGTCACCGGGGACGAATCGTCATATCGATCCTGGGTCCGCTGCAAAGGCCCGTCTTAATCTCCCTCGTTGTTCACTTTGTTCACTCTTGTAATCGCGCTCCGGTCCCAACCCCGGGGCCAAGAACGTCGTTTTCGAATAATATCGTTAACGCCGACCGTGGCACCGCGATTCGAGAAATCATTCGAAACCAGTCTCCGGAATCCAGATGGGCAAACACAAAATTGAACATCGACCTGCTTTGAAAGTCAATCCGGATGCACAAAGCCGAGCGGATCGATGGAACGCGAGTGCACGAGTTGCCGGTGGAGTCTGGATTATCTTTATTCTCCCCCACTAGTCTTTTATCGCGGAAAGTTGTTCGCGCAGTTATTTGACCCGTGATATCGCACCTGTTTGTCCGGCTCCTTGCCTTTGGCAGTGATGAGTCGATCACAGTAACACCCCTCCAGCAAGATGACGCCGCTCGGTCGGGAGCACGTGTCGTTTTCGTAGTAGAAGAGCAAGTTCTGAAACACCCCGGGTTGAAATCTTGTTACAAAGCTCGCCGATTTCGAGTGAACGATAGGAAACGATTATCGGGAGACTGCGATGAAAATTGAAGGAGTTATTTTTAAGGGGGAATCAAACTGCCCCTCATCGATCCGGTCAACGTGGAGGGCCAAGTTAGACACCGGAGCACCGATTTTCCCCTCGGTCGTGCATTATTTTTGCAGCCGTTGAATTTCCCGTAATCTCGGCAGTCGGTTATTCGCGCAGCGGCTAACGGCAAGACTAAATAAGCAAAGACTCGCCTCGTATGTAAAATGCATCGGAGAGAGCCAAGTCGTGTTCCGGGACGGGAATTCTCCGGGGACGCGTAATAGGCTTGGCGGAAAAATTGGAAAGCGCACGATGGAGGGATTAAGCAATCTTTTGAACTTTATCCGAGCAACCGGCGGCCATATTAAGAACGAGGAGTTCCCTCGGGATTTTTCTTCTCGGAGCTCGAATACCGCCCCCCAGCTACGCACCGAACACGGTGGCGTCGTAATTCCGGCTGACGTTCCGAACCAATTATTCGCTTATCCGGCTGATACTCGATAGTTGGTTCACTCCCGAGTGTGTTTATAGAAAATGTATATGTCAATTTTAATTCCATTTTTTTCCATTGATAAACGTTTTGACGCTTTTCGACGATGGCTGGAAGGCGGTCCTGCGCTTCGAGGACGAGGATACGTCTCGCGTACGCGTCGCGGTGCTTGAAATCTCGTTGTACAAAGGGCACTCGTTAGCGGCATTGCCAATCGAAGCGTTGGACTCACTTGGTAGAGGACGAACCATCTTAGTTGCCACTTCGCCGAATCCGCGGTTTTCTTGTACAGATGGCCGGCCAAGGAGTGATCGTAATGGGCCCTCTCCGAAAGCATCACCAGCTGAGCATCGTTCACTCGAACTGGAACAAACGTAATATTTCGTCGATTATGTTGTCGCATAGGCGATCGATACCGCGAGAGGCCAGGGCCACCATTTTCAAAGCGTTCCCTTATAAAAGCGTCATACGGATGGAGATTTTATGCAAATGGCAATGAGCCTACCGAGGCTCTCTTTGATCTCGAAAAATGTTTGCCGAGTATCCGTGCTCCTCCTGCGAAACGTGCGAATGAAGCCCGCGTTAATAGAAAACATAGGAGTAGAAATTGTGCAAATAGGAATTTACGAGAGTTCGCACTTCGGCCGATGATAACGCTTCGATTACTTTCGAGCCGGAACGAAGTTAAATCGGGGTCTTGTTAACCGCACTCGGGAAGAATAAACTTTTCTGCATTCGCGTGTTTATTGCTCAAGAATCGATTAACCTCGGTGAACGTTATGTCGCATCACGGATCAATTATATCGTGCACATCGGCCGCGTCGATGACAACGATGATATTCTAATTAGTGTCGGACACTAAACATTTACCTGTTCTTTGCATCTTCGGGCTGATCATGATCGTTGATCGACGATGGATAGCAGCAAACGATCGGTAGGATTCCCTAAAATTGCAAATGAAGGAATTAGAAATTGAATGAAATTGCATATAGGTATCGCAACGCGTGTCGTTTTATTATGCCATTGTCGTTCCGTCGTAATAGCGGTCGTAACATTTGCAACAGGTATCTCCGATCCTCCCCACGATACATGTTAAATGCAGCTATCGCTCGTTTGGTGTTGATTGGTTTTCCCTACCGTATAATCGATTTATTCAAGAAGTGAATTACGATGGAAATGATTTTTCCGCACGAAGGAAAATTACTCGGTGCACGTAATCGTATACCTTGATTAAAATAACGCTTGTTGGAAAAATGTCGAATATCTCATTTTTTAAGTAATCTTCACGTATCAAGGGTGTTTCCTTCCTTACGACTTTTCTATCGTAAAATGAAACTTACCGCCGCGGCGAATGTCGGTAATATTATTTCTGGTAAATGCAGCTATGGCGTTCGTCATTTTTTCACCATCCGCGAAATATTTTCCGGAAATTCAGCCAGCATTTTCTCTGATCGCTTTCTAAACACTCCCTTGGGTACGGTGCGGAAAATTTAAACATTTCGGAAAGAACACAAGAATTTTCTTTAACCGAATCGATCTCTTCTTAGATTTTTATTTTGGAATTTTCCGAGCTCGGGCAACGAGTAAGAGTCGTGGCTTCCAGCCTGCGGAGAATCGCGTTTTATCATTTTTCTTCCGGGGCCTCGGCAAATTGGAATTTGTACGAGGGAAATGAAAAACGCCGAGCACCGGGCTTCTTTTGCAAGGGCATTAAATCCACTATGTCGATAATAATTACCAAGCTTGGAAAATTCAAAGCGGTTTCCCGAGTATGAGTTCCGAAAGCTCCTTTGTAACGGAGTTAAGTGATAATCGTAGTGGGCATTGCGTCTACCGTGTCCCGAACAGACGGAATTCTTAAAGGTTTTTTAAATTTGACACGATATTGCAAATAAATTATAACTCTCGAGAAATAAGTTTTGTTTAACGATCGCGGGTTTTATTCGTATTCGGAGACCGTAAACGGGCACTTGGAAAAACAGAATAGCTGGATTGTAAAAGACAGTTTAGCAGGGAGTCGAGTTTCTCGAGAGGAAAAGGTCGGCTCGACTCGTTTAATCGGAGAAAAGTGAGGAAAGTCGAGGTGCAGTTTCATAAGAGCCGTGTATTTTAAACCGAGTCGGTTGCAGCGCATATGCTGTAATCGATGATTGGCATTACCCTGATGAAATACGAAACTAAAATATAAAAAGTAGTTTACCATAAAATATGGGTGCGAAATTAATCACGGGAACAACACCCTTCCTACAAAGAAATCTTGGCTAAATACATTTTCCAAGGGAGTTCCGTTTTTCGGTACCTCGTCTCGTTTTAACGATTATTCCGTGGTTCGGGAAAGAACCGGCAAAACGAAATACCCACTCTCCTCCATCTCGTAGCTTTGCATATAAATAGAGCGAGATAAAGAGCCGAACAATCGAGAGTCTAGAGAGTCCATTTCTCCGGAAAGGGAAGAAGGTACGTTCAAACCGCGTTATGCAGATACCAGGGCACGGATAGAATTTCGATTTCCATTGTTCCGATTCGATACCGTCTTCGAGTATCCTCGGGCTCGGAAACGCGAATGTCACGCGTCGAAGAAGTTGGACAGAGTCGAAACGAGCGACAGCCACAAAGAAGAAGGAAGAAAGGGTGCCAAAGAAGAGCGGCGACTGGCGAACGAGCGCAACGTAAGCGAGAGCTGAGATGAGAACTTTATACGATACCTGGGTGACTCGTTCGATTTCGCTCTCTCTCTCTCTTTCTCTCTCGCGTCCTCACTCCTCCCTCAATTTACTCTGTCGATCGGTAAAAATGAGCCGCGTGCCGAGAATTGACCTATCGCTTTCCCCGCGCTCGCAGGACCGAGATCCGGCGATACCGTCCTCCCCTTTACGCCAGCCGATCCACCCGTTTGATACGCCTCATCGGACGTTCCTCCCCGATCGTCCCTCGACCGCTTCCCGACCGCTTCCCGACCGCTGCCCGACCGCTTCCCGATTGTTTACCGAGCGGGACGGAGGCTCGGCGAGCCTAGGGCTCCAAGTGAGTGGAGAAACTAAATTTTAGGAGGTCGTGACTTGGAACTTCTTCCGAGGAAAGTGACGACTCGTCACCGCCCTCCGGTCTCATGGTCGCGGCGGTCGACTTCGGAGGTCGCGACGAGCTTGCGACGGGCTTGCGAAACGAGTCGGAGTGCCGAGACCTCGTCTTCGTGAACAGCCCAGAAGCTCTCGTGGCGGGTCTCATTGCGCAAGCTCGTCGACATCCACCCATCGCGCCAACCCCTACCGGCCGCCAAAGGAACAGCCCCGCGCGGGGCTCCGACAATCGAGGTCGGGGTGCTCGTCGGCCGCTCCGCGACTTCCTTTTTTCGCGGGCGCATACGGAAATTACCCATACCGTTATCCGGAGGGACCGAGCGGGGCCATCGAGCGCCCGGCTACCTTTACCTTGGGAATTAGGGGAAAAAGGATGCTCGACTCGGACGTCGCGGTGCCGAGTCGATCGCGGCCGGAGACGAAGAGCCGAGGCGCGACTCTTGAAAAAATCTACCGGTCGATTAACAAAGATCTAATCGTCTCTATAAAATAAATACGTCTTGCCAATTTTCTGATTTACGTCGCGATACATTTTATTCGCGAACGTTCGAATTGCGGGGGAATATTAACGGCGACGATAGGGTTCGGGAAATATTGCACCACGAGTCAAGTACGCTTCTTTGAGTGGACGCGGTTCGTGTGCGCGGTAACGCTTCACTCCGAGCGAAATTCGGCCATGTATTTCGAGGGTGTTTGCTCATGTAGGCATGAGATCGTTCGAGCAAATATGTGCGCTCCAGGAGAGGACGGATGTATGAAAAATTGATGCTGATACGCTTGCGTCTGGAAGGGCACCTCGCCACGTTGAGAACCGACGAAGATCGACGTTCCGAGTTGCTAGCCTTCCTGCGATGGCGCTTCCTTCGAATTTCATTGCAGAAGCGAATGGGGAGAAACTCCAATTAGGTATTGGACGCGTCCCGGACTTACGAGGGTGGTTTAATCCGCCGAATGGAATCTTACCCCTCAAGGTTGTTCCTGAAATCTACCTTATTTCCCATTTCCTTGAAATGTGTCGGGTAGGTACGGAGATGACTTCTTTTTGAGAGACTTCGATGCTAGATATAGCGCTCGTTCGACCTCGATCGAATTCGATCGTTTATAGGGGACGAAGATTCGTCTTGGAACGAAAAGTAGGAAAAATCGGTCGTACCTCTTGGAAGTTTAGAAATTGTCATATCAAGGAAATATATTGAAATTTTTGTACGCAATAATGACGATGGATCGGTTAAAAATTAGGATCAATGTTGACCGTGATCAGCGCTTGGCCAACGGTAATGCGTTTCTACTCGTAGCTGGCATTACCGGCTGCAGAAGCGAGTCCGTGTCCAGCTGAACGAAATTTTATCGACGACCGGGGCGGCCTGCAGGGAGGGTACAGGGCTCTGCGCGAGTTTGCGCGAGTTTGCGCTCCATCGATACCTTACCCAAAGGAGAGACCGCTTTATCCGCCTTGGATACCGTTCACACCTTTCCATACCTTGTCCGTAAATTGCCGACCGGTACGTGATACCTCAACGATACCTTTGAACTCCCATCGAATGATCACAAAATTGAGGGTTTACCGTTAAAGTAAACACGAACGACATTGCGCCGAATAAATCGTGAACGAAGTTACACGAGCTGAATCGACAAACTTTATGCGAAAGTCAAATTAACGTTACATCAAGATAGATCTTCGGGAAGCGACGTCGGTAGCAGGATAATGTGGTTCCGTGAGCTATGCACGTCCAACCGGAATCGACGCGATCACGTTCCTTCTTCGTGGAAATGAGAAAATGCTATCGCCCGATGTGCAGCTCTCACGACATGGGTAGCCGCCTGGAAGTACATCGTTCGTTAGAACACCGATCCCCTCTCTTGGATCGCGCACGTTTCGCTCGACGTAAGGAGGTGAGGCGCGTTACCTTAAACTTTCGTCGAGCATTAAATTCGCACAATTTTTTGGCCGCGTCCGTCATGGAATGTCTCGCCGTGTCGACGCCACGCACCCAAGGATCTCGCAGCAGTTCCTGAGCCGTGGGTCGATCTTCGGGATTCGTCTGCATAAGCTGCAAGCACGACCGTCATGACTGCCGATTAGCTATCGTCGAAGGATTTCGTTCGGGCGGAAATCCGAATCGATCCCCGTCTTCGCGATTAAGGAGAGAAAAAAAAATAAATAGATTTCTTCGCATTCCGCGCTTTCAGCGGAACTTCTATTTAGCCTTCCGCCCATCGAAGGGGCGGAATCGCATAGCTGGCCGAGTTCTCGCGAAATTGCGTTTTTTTTCCCCTATCCAGTGAGTTGATTTGCATACTTGAGTTATGAGGTGCTTCGCTTCGTCCGTTTTGTCGTCCCAGTACGGAGCAGGAAATATTTCCTGCATTTCCCGAAACGGCTCGAAACCGCAGAGCCTGAAAGCAAGAACATCAAAGTGATTCACCTTGGTAGAACTCGCGGCGCGGCTGCGTTTTAAGTATACCGGCGGCTCGTTAAGGATGGCAGGATGCATACATAATGTAAATGACGACTCCCAGACTCCATATGTCGGACGCCGAGCTCGACGAGCGCGTGGATGTCACTTCCGGAGCTGAAATCGGACACCGCCTTCCGCTCAATCGTTCGTCCCGCGACTCTTCGCAAGGAAACGCGAAGTGCTTGCCATCGGCTCGGAGGATCTCCGCGAAATCGAGCGACTCACCGCAATACAGAGCGTTGTAGCAGTTGATGACGGGCGCGGCCACTCCCATGTCCGTCAGCAGGAGTTTCGAGTTTTCGTCCTCCGTCGCGTAGAGCAACTTTTCCGGTCTCACGCTGCCATGGTGCAATCCCATTTCGTGTAGATACTGCAAGAATATCGATTCCGAGAGAAGTTTGGCCGGATTGCTATAATATTTCATCGCGGCCGAGCACCGCTTCGAATGCGACTTGGCCGAGTTTACGAGTGATAAGTTCGGCGCGTAAATCAGACGTCAAAGGTGTCCCGGAACTAATACGCGTTTCCGATGAGTCCCGCATACGTATCGGTGCATTATCGGTTGATTCGCGACGGAAGCTCACCCTGAGCGCCGAGAGGGCGTCTCGAACGGCGTCGGCGGCATCCTTCTCGGAGTATCCGCCTCGGGATGCCAGCTTCTCCAGCAATTCTCCGCCGGCGGCCAGGTCCTCCACCAGGTAGAGGCGTTGAGGGTCGTCGTATGCCTCCCTTACCGACACCTGCGTCATTTCACCCGCTCGAATAATCGGTCCGTTCTCTTTATCTCCTCTTTTCGATCGAAGGAACGCTCGACCGGAGGTTCAATGATTCTTACAATGTTCTCGTGACGTATCCTCAGCAGAGTCTGGATCCTTGCCCGAGTTTCGACTTTGCTCGATTGTACCTGCGAACGAGGAGGGAAAGGTTACGGAGCTCGATCGACTCGACTCGCTTTCGGTTTTGGCGAGAAGAGAGCCTTGGATCGGCGAGCTATATCACTCGGATACGGTGTACTTCGGAGCCTTAGGGCAGTTTCCTTATTCGCGATGGCCGACCACGTGACCGCTTACCTTTCGTATTATCTTGCAGGCGTACTTCTTTTTGCCTTTGTACAGGCAGCTGCAAACGGTCGAAACGGAGCCCCTTTGACGGAAAGTCGATTAGAACAAAAATGGAATTGTCGATTATATCGCTGTCCTCGAATTCTCACCTGCCAATGACATCACCCAGGATGTAATGGTCGTGAAAATCACCCTTTGACACCCCCGTCAGCCAATCGCTGTCGCTCTCCATGATTTTACTGCACCTATTCGGGCGCCATCATCCTTTATTCATTTCGCCAGGAACGTCCACATGTTTTACCAAACGCTAATTCCCCCTGATCGTTGGATTGGAAATATTCCAAATACCCCGAAAGAGAATCAGAAACAGGGAGCGAGTCAAAATTGTTGGTTTTCGCTTCCACGGGCGGGAAATTCTCGCTGGAAATAGCATCGAGGGGAAGATCGCGAGAAAAGGGGTTTATGGCTAATGCACGGGAAAAATAAAAGTAATCGCTGGTCGTTTGACAAATTTTTGCCCGTGTCCGCTCTTTCGGAAACACTCGGTGCGGCATTACCCCGCCACGTGCACTCGTTTCAACCTACGAGAGATCGAAGCACGAGCTCGAAAACTACTCCGATATCACCGATAAGGATTATGACTCACTGGAATTACGGTTGCAGCTGCATAGCAGCCGTATACCTTGAAGACGCGACGAGGGCAAACGTCTATGCCGGCGGAGGAAAACCGATAGATGCACGTTTTTAAATTTAATGCGTAATATAATCGCTACCGCATCCGTATCCGCATCTTCGAATGCTTAGTATATATTGGGACCGAGTGTACGATTGCGACCAACAGTTGCATCGGACAATTGTATCGTAAACGTTACACTCCGCGCACGGTGCACCACCGAGCTGTCATTACATAAACGTTTTTCCGCGTGCTAAAACGAGTCGTTGCATAAACCGTCGGATGGAACGATAAACGATTAAATGAAAGAGGCGCGGTTATCGTAGAATTCGAAGCGGTCTCGCGAAAAGCTAGATTTTCTCCTTTCAAATCGAAAATTATAGTCGATGAAAGCGCACCGGGCAAAGCGTAGAGTTACCAAATCTAGGACCGATCGGCCGTGGAGAAAAACGGCATCCCTCGGCTGTCAAATGACGACTACGCGACAGCGAGCGGCAGAGTTTAGTCGACGATGTTTTACGTCGAATGGCCGAGCACGAACTGGCTGCCAGATGTAGAAACAGAGACCAGGAGACACCTCTTTATATCAATCACGTTCACCGAGACCAGCGTCGCGTTTTAAATGGACTCGAATCCATGAACAACGGTGTCCCTCTTTGGCGATCCTAGATAAACATCCTTTTATCGTTGCAACGAGGAATAACGAAGGCGATACGTTGATACGATAGAGAATTTCTCGCGCGAATGAGGGCACGATACGGACCGACGATGTCGCAAAGATGAGAGGTTCAGCGAAGTCTAGTATTTTTTTCACGTATGAGTCGTGCATCGGTCGTGACGGAGGGCGACGCGAATGCGGTTTTTTTCTTTGTGAATATGCGCGTTCCAAATTTCATGTCGCAACAACCTTCGCGGTTCGGTTGAAATATCGGACGCGGACGACTTTCGCCAAGTCAACTGTACAATGTAACGAGCGCGATTTATACTCGTATGCTTAAAGATGGCGTGGACGCGTGTTTTTCTGCATATCGTCGGCGATTCGTTCGCGGTACACTTATTCATACAGCCTTGGCCACCGCAGGCCTAGAGAGTCGTGGTTCGTCACGAGAATTGAGGTCAATGTTAGACAGGAAATGTTCGCTTAAAAGCCAAATCAAAAGATTACGATCAACCTTGCAAAATACACCCGCAAAATTGCTGGCGCGGAGCCGCGACGTTCCAAACTCTTTCCCTACTTTTACTTTTTTTTAGATAGGCGGGCCAGCTTTGGAATTAAATTATGTGGACTACCAATTTTAATTCGTTATGGTGAACGTTTCGGATTGCCGCTTGTCGCCCAGATAAAAGGGCGAGGTAAAAAAAGTCTATTGGCAGGTTTTAAAATATCCGATCGTTGGCTCCCGAAATTATCGATTCCGCTGAAAGAGAATGTTACAAATTGCCGATGCAATTACAATCGACTCGATAATGAAGTTTTAAATCATTGGAACGGTACACTCGAAGCCCGAACACCCCGGGGATTGTAAGTGAATTAATGTACTCTTCGATGTGAATATTGCGAACAATGTCGCGTTTCAGTCAAATCGGATTTTCCTCCTGAACGGACCAATAACAGGTGCGATCGAATGCAAGTTTCCACGGTATCTCGAATACCGAAAACCGTCGAGGAATCGACAATTAAATTAAACTTCCTTTAATATGAAATGAAATTTATTACAACAAATTATAAGTATTGTATTATATTAGTAAATGTGGCACATCGCGCGGGCGCGCGAGCAATCGAGAAGCGAAGTGCATGGAATTTTTACAGTCTTACAGTTACATACGTACAAGCCTGAGTATCCTTCGCTGCGAGTAACGGTGGCGAGTGATGTTAACGTTTAACCATAAATATATTAGGGCAACAAAAATTAACAGAGCCGTTATCACAAGAGTTATCCTCGGTAGCCTCTCTACAACGTTAATTTAAACGGGGTTAAATTGAATATTTCAACGGAGACGTTTAAGGAAACTTAGTCAACTACGAGGCACATACATTTGCAATTGCGGTGAGCAGTGGTAACGGGCATAAGGCACGTTCGCGATACAAAATCTGGCTTGGAAATATGACAATCCCAGAGACGAGTTTAGAGAAGCAAATGTCAAAGGTGTATATACGCATCAACTACTCGGAAATTCCGCGGGTTGTACGTTTAGAAAATGGGATGGATGGTGCCAGCTTGTCGTCGACATTGTTTTCGTACAACGATCGGCATAAATCAATTACGCGCCTACGAGAACTGATTCGATCGGTCAAAGATCGTCGGACCGTCGACGTCGCTTCTCACGCGATTCAGGTTCTATGTCAAGGATCGATGCCTTAACGATAATAGATTCGAAGCCCGGCATGAAAGATAAGGCGACGATGAACTGGAGCCGTTTTAACGTCGGGTCGTTTCGAAAACGTCTATCGTTAAGCCGTTATTAGAGGCAGAAGTCATAAGCTCGCGACCGAGCAGGACTCGACTTTGGCAATAAAAGCGACTTCCTGCAACACGCGTATCACCGAGATACGCAAGTTTTCGAGCATTATACCGGAGGCCGAACGTTCGTTTGCAATGTTTAAGAACGTCCAAATATACTTGAGCAACGAGTGTAGCGATACCTAAACGTTAAATCCGTCTCTACGGGCTCTAACGATTTATATACATCCTACGTGAACGTTTCGATGCTGGCATTGTGTCAATGAATTTTCCGTCGGATGCGTTTCCGAGTTCCAAATTCTAGGGAGGAGTTCGGTCGAATGAATCGGATCGACTCGACGAGACCCGTTGAAATTAACCGAGGAAGCATCTGAAGTCAGATTATCGTCTTTACCGTAAAGTACGAAGTGAGGTACGTAATCAGGCGTTGCAAAGTATGCCTTGCACTTGACATTTATCGCACAATTTCTCTTCATTGCATCAGAGGGGAAATGTTGAGGGTCTCGTGTAGAGTAAGAGGTTATACACGGGAAGTAGGTGAGACCTTTTCGTGATGTAACTTTGGCGACAAATGTCGCACAAATGTCTGAAAGATTTACGTTGGTTCCGTGACGCGGTAGCATTTCGGTGCATCTCCAGGGAGGAGATCCGATCGGTCCGACGAGAAAATTCATTGACGGCGTTTCGGATGATTCATAGAGGAAAGTTCAAGCATCGTTGATTAAGACACCCGGCTTTTCGTTCGATCGCAAAAGCTTTCAATGGAAATTACCTGAGCGATGATTTGCCGTCGAGAAGAGATCGTTCTCGCCGTTCGCCCCTGAAGACGAATCGCGAGGGATATCCTGCAACGAATGCGTCTCGCGGATCCAACTTTAGTCCATCGGAGAGTTTTCAAAGTTCGGATGAACCGTTTGAATATTAACGATACTACGATGAATGGGAGAAAGGAAAGCGATCGCATTCTTCTCCTGCGCCCCGAAGACGCGATAAATTACATCGGGAGCAACCACCCGACGAAGTCTACTCGGAGGCTCTCGAAAGAATCGGATGATACTTTTCCAACGGAGCATCTTCCATCCGAGTTTTCGGCGACGTCGAGAAAATCCTCGACGACAACTTAATGGTTCCGCGAATCAGTTTTCCGCTGGATGACGCCAATTGTGTCGGACGTGTCGCATCTTCTTCGTACACGTCGCGCAGCATTTCTCTCGTACGATCGACGACACGTCGCACATGCGCCTGTACGTCGAGCACATCGACACGGGTACCATAATGTCCTGGCAGTCTGAAATACGAAGGAAACTCCCGAGTAAAGCACCTTAAAACTAGACCGAGTTCTCTTACCGGAATATTTCCCATGGACTAATTAACCGGGTCATTAGCGGTTCGTTTCTTTGGCTAAGGACGCTTTACCGTGTCTCTCCTCGGTACAGGGCTTCCGGAAGTGGCAGCGCCTCGTGTCCAGCGGCCTCCTCTCGGGATTGCAATCATCGGACGACAGATTGGTCGCCCTGCTTCTGCAGAGGACCTCTCGGCGTTTCACTCCCGACTTGGAAACGCAGGTGGCGTTGCAGGATCCCCATTTCCCTGGAAAACGTTTCGCGGTTATCGGACCGCGCTCGACTCGTCTCCAGATTTTTCTTTGTTTTTAACGAAGGACTCGCAGGGCCACTCGGGCATCCGTCCACCTTTTCTCTCGCTCGCCGAGCGGAGCTTACCGGATATCCATTTTCCACCGCGGCAGTCTTCGGTGGCCGGTGGCTTGTTCTCGGGGTCGCAATCCCCCGAGATGGGGCAGGACACCTTCCTGCTCCTCTTTCCGTCCAAGCAATAGCCCCACTTGGAGACCATCCACTTGGACTTCGTGTCGTACATGGAATTGCCCGGGTTCCCATCGACCACGTTGTCGAATTGCAGGATCTCCGGCTCCTCGGGGGTCAAGCCGTTAACGATCGTGATGCCGTCGTGGTCGTTGGAGCTGATGTTGTAGAACGAGGCGTATTTACTGCCTCCGTAGACGAAGAGGGGCGCCCCCGTGGACGGGCCACAGGCCGGCAGATCCGGACAAGGCCCGAACTCTTCGGGTCGCGCGTCCCTGTCGCAGTCGCGATCGGGTAGCGCCAAGTCGGACTTTTCGGGACCTTTCCCGGAAGAGACGCACATGACCGACCGCTTGCGCAGGACACCCTCTCCGCAGGTTACCGGGCACATCTGCCACGGGCCGACCCACCACCTGCGAAATCGAGTCGACGGTTCAACGGGTTGCCGGACTAGGTCGGGTGAAATTTGGGCTTTACCTAGCGGGACACGGGTTTTGGTTACATTCTCGGATGTTGGATTCTGGTTTCTTCGAATCTTCGCAGAATTGGTCCTCGACCACTCCGCTCTTCGTCTCGTGACAGAGAGGACGGGCCGTCTGCGTCCCGCCGCCGCACGTGACGGTACACAGGGACCAATCCGAGAACACCCAGGAGTATTCCGGGGCTCGGTCGGGCTCTTTTTTCGGAACGGTGTACTCGTACCGCAAGCCGAAGTTACGGTAATGGCCCCTGTAGATCAACTACGATCACGCGAGAAAGTTATTCGTTGAAGAGTAAATTGCATCGAAGGGAAGCGGCGGAGGAACGCTTTTTGAGGGAAATTCCCGCAACGAACGATGGACCGTATCCGATAATGCATTCGCGGTCACTTGCTCCACATCGCTAACGAACTTAACGCTTCCCTTACGTTTGGCCCCATTAATTACATTTAAGGGAAGAACGAATCCACCGATCTCGTTAATCCTGTGCTTACGTAAACGACGATGTCCTCCTTGATAGGTCCGGGTATCCGGACTTTCTCCTTGTCCCTGTCTCGTTCGTACAATGCAGGGGTTCCCGCGACTTCGTACTCTCCTGCTAAGGTAATCTGCCTGTCCGAGGGAAACCGTGCGTTAAGCGGCGATATTTTTTCCTTTTCGATCCGACGGGTTTGGGAAGGAACGAACGTCCCGTCGCGAGAACTAATATTTGCAGGCACCTACGCACCGTTTTCCATTCAGGAAGTACTTGTTCGATCCCGGCACCCCGATGCCTATGTAATTCTTGCTGTTGCCCACTTCCTCGATCTTGATGTTTCGAGAGCCCATGGGTATCACGACCACCTCTTGATATCCCGGGCCCTCGTTCTTGTCGTACAGCCCAGAAGTGGTCTCGCATTGAGTCCCGTCGCCGTGGCATATTCCGCAGCGATCCTCCGTCGCGTCCGAGTCGACCGTCCAGTCGCAGCCGACTTTCTGAAATTTTTTGAGATACAGGCTAGGCCGGCGATATCGCCGATATTTTAGGGGAGGCCGATATTTTACTCTGCATATTCCGGCGATGCACATATCTCTGGTCCCAACGTTGCAGGGCGTTCCGTCGAGAGCAGCCTCGCCCCATGGAACGATAACTCGCTCTTCCGAATCCGTGCAGTACAGCTCGCAAGGCTCCGCTGAAGAATCGTTCAGGGGATCGGTATTAATTACTTAGAGACACCCAGAGAATTTGGTAAATCTGCTTTAGGAAAAAGGAGCACGGCGGGTGTTACTTTGGTCGAAATACGGCAGCCAGGTATAATTCTTCCTCTTGTATTCCTTTCCGTTGTAGCTGCTACACTGGACGCTTCTGAAACTCGGAACGCCATCCGGACACGGATCGGTGTTGCAGATCTTGTAACGACGTCTCTCGCCGATGCAGAATTGCCCACCGTGAGCCGGCTCCGGATGATCGCACTTCCTTTCCATGATCGAAACTCCTGCACCGCAGGTCCTGGAACACTCGCTCCAGTTTCCCCATTCGCCCCAGCCGCCGTCGATCTGACTCGGTCGATCGGCAATCGGGACGCATTCTTGATTTTGGCACCACTGAACGAGCGATCGTCTTTAGCACCTTACGCGTAATTATCGGTCTAGGGTATTTTTGAAAGAAGAAAAAAAGAATACCACTTGCCATGTGCTTGCCGCAATGAGTTCCAGGGGCAGCGGGATGCAGCATCGTGGTGCAGGACCCATCCACGATGCACCAAAGTTTCGAACAAATCTAGAAAACGATAATCCTGTAAAGCCCGTTTAGCGCGTCGCGAAAATGATCGACGTCTCGGTCACCTCCTCCAACGGAGAGCACACCGAAGCTTCTCTGACCCCAAACTGAAGTCTGCACTGATGCTCCGCATTGTACATCGCCCCAGGAGGCAGATCGGGGTAGGAGTAATCGTTGTCCGCTGGCTCGTCCTCGAGACAGTCGCCCTTTCCTTGACTAACCAATGAACCGAGAAATTAATCGCAAGGCAAACTACGGAGTCAACGAACGATCGCGATACGAGGTGCTTCGCTCGACGTACTCTAAAAAGTTGGTGATGTCCCTTCTGGAGCATCGGGACCAAGCAACTCCTACCGTATCCACTTCAAAGGTTGGAGTCATAACGTGCAGAGTGTCGCCGTCCCGTTTACTGCATCCTATTTTCTCCGTGTCGTGATACATGCCAAAGCTAGCGAAAGGACAATACGCTGCTGAGCTGAAAGGTTAGATCGCGAGAAAACCCGAAGTTAAAACGCGCGCGAAAGTCGTGCTTACTTGTGGCCTAATTCGTGCGTAATCGTGTGAGCCAAAGTAATCCCATTGTCTTCGTTGACGCTGCAACTGCGATCCGGTTGACACATCCCGGCCACGTGTGCCACACCTAGGGTGCTGCAAGGAGTATTGGCCCTTGAACATATATCTTCCCTTGTTACCAAAATTGCGACATCGTGATGATTCGGGTGCGAGTCGTCGCCCTGATTCAACTTTTGCTGCCACTTGCAGAAATTGTAGAGCGTTTTATCCGCGTTGACGGTGACGTTGAGTCCTTGCTGGAACGAGTCCCAATGGCGAGCAATGCCATTTTCGGTTTATTTCAATTAAGTTTGATCCGTATTCGAAGACGTCCGATGCATCTCGAACCGGTACGATGTTGACTACTCTACCTCGGCTTCGTCCTCTTCCATCAGGATGATCCTCACGACGACGACGTTGATAAAGTTGCCGATGGTGGGGTCGAGGTACAGGGACGAGACCATGTTCATGATCGTCAGCAGATACGTCTCCACGTCGCCGTCTTGATGGAAGGCCATCATCGTGGTGTCCGCAACGACGAGCGCTTCCACATGCCTCGGTCTGCTGATGGATCTCTTTGCTCTCTGCCATTTCTTTGCCGGATGTTTCCTCCGTCCACGGCCTTGCACTTGCACGAGACCGGGCTGCGTTTGCCACTCCAAGTGCGTTTCCGTCAACCGCCGAGGCTCTGGAAGCAGACGCGAACGAAATAACGGCACGTGGAAATTTCTTTAAATGAGAATTACGTTGACGTTGGGAAACGAAATTGGCGCATAATCCCCACGTCGGAAATGTCCGACGAAAATGAAGTCGGTGCGGAGCGTTGCACGATTACATCGGCGGTTTGGATTTCCATCACCGAAACGAATTTCTCTCGCGTGCCCGTAGGGCCATTGCCAGCGTTAATTTCAAATATTCCGTGCATTCTGTGTTAATTAAATTACAGCGTCTGTTACGGATCGATGTCAAACTAATTTTGGCTCTGTTAAACGGGACGTAACCGCCCTTCGGAACGTTACGTTAGACTGCAACCTCGTAATACCGTATCCGGAATGCACCGCATCAACGGTGGGATAATTAAACTCGGGTCGCAATTTTTGCGGCTTACCGATAGTTTACGGCGCGCACCACGACGGGTGGTTTTGCAAACATGGCTGAGCTGGATGACAACGATATCGAGTCAAGCCGCCGATTAAAATTAACGAACGCGAAACGGTGGCAACGGAGCTTCGCTTTTTAAGACTTTTTCTCGAGCCCGGTCCCGGACGGCTGATCGTCTCGTCGTTAATGGGAACATGCCGACTCGATCGCGTATAATCGAAAGCGATTCCCATGCACGACGATATTGCCGTTTCGGCAACAAGTATTGTTCGGAAACTGCGGATGATTTAAAATAGAAACCGCAGTCTGCGGTAAATCTCTAACCTCGGTATTGGATTTCAATTTTCTACCGTGAAGTCGAAAACATTCGTAAAATGGGAGATACGCTATGCGCCTAATTGCGGCGGCAGTCGTCACGCGGTAAAAACGGGAGCTCGAAAAATCGATCGTCGTTTCCGCCGATCGGATCGAGAAGCGGGGTCTGGTCGAAAATTGCAACGTTTCGGGAGCTGGTCGACGTTTCGACGGGGGGCACGACGAGGCGGTTTGCACTAAATCTTCGTAACGAACGCGAGTTATAACGAGGTATTTAACGTTGGCTTATATTAATCGAGCGCGCCGCCGGCAGAGAAGGTTCGGCTTTTAAGTTCCGTCGACTTGTTTTACGTGTTTCGCGTTCGCCACTAATCGTTAACTAGAAATTGCACTAATGGACGTTCCTTCGGCCCACCTCCACTGATTTATGCAGATTGGCGGAGGGCAAGCCTGCAATTAATATTTTATTTGCCCGCGATGATCGATCGCCCCGACGTGCCAGGAAACGCGGCAACCTGCCGAACGATATTCATTGTCTCTAATAATAGGATTCGACCGATACGTCGCCTCTTTTTAACCCGTTCTCCGGCCGCGGTGCACCTCCCATTACCGGCGGGCGGGCGTCGATTAATATTCGGCAACCTTCCCCACCGCGGCACCGACGCCGGCACGGAAGTCATCGGACGATTCGCTTCCTCCTGCTCCTGCCGGAGCTCTTAGGGGGAACCGACCGACTCCTCGCCGAAAGGGGAGGGCCGAGATCCCGATCTCGGTCTCGGCGCGTAGGGGTCTCACCGCGGGTGCCGCAGTTCTTCTCGTGCTTCTTCTTCCTTTTTCGCCTGCGCCTGCGAGCGGCGCCAACCTCGACGGCGGCCTCGCGCCGGAAGAGAAGGTGCGGGCGACCGTCCGGTAGGCCGGCGGCGGCCGCCGCGGCCGCCGCGGCCGTCCCGGCGACCGGTTCCAGCCAGAACTCCCCGTGGTCCCCCTGGAGAACGCCCGCCTGAAACACAAAACCGCGCTCTCGGATTACCCGGCCCGTGTTCGAGCCCGCGGTCGCGCGCCGCCCAGACGGATTTATCATCGATATCCTCTGGGAACGACCGCCCCGAGGAAAAATGCCGGAATCGGAGACGCTCCGGGACGCCGTCCGGCATGCCGAGTCGCTCGCGCCGTTCTGGAAACAAAGGGTTAAAAATAGCGGGGCACGACTCGGTGGCACTCGCTATTTCGACCGGCCGCCTTTAGCGTCGACCGTGAAAAATCATGGCGCCGCCGAGGAGCGAGGCTTCGCCGAAGGTCCCGAGTAAAAGGAAGGACTGACTCAGCTTGCCCCGGCGGACCCGCCGGGGACGATTTTGCTCCTTTTTCCCGGCGGGCCCATAAACTTCGATCATTCGCGCGATCCGTCGACCGCCCAGAGGCTGCGTCGCTACCGGCCTAAGGACGAGCTATTTCCGTCCGCGAACACCTAGAAGCGACGCCCGACGACGAGGAGTCGTCCTTCCGAGACCGAGGTCCTTTGTCCGGGGGCTCCCGGCCCGAGCGCGCCAATGCCGCCGACGCGGACGGGGTCGTCGGTTCCAGCGTTCGGGTCGGAACGCGGCTAAGAAACCGCGAGAGAAATTCTTCCATGGCAAATGCCAGGGATAAAATACGTTCTAACGTCGTCGTTTCCAGAGGCTATCGTGGCCCGATCGTCTCGGGGAAGGCGCGAGATCGACGGCGATTGCGCGCCGCGATACAATGGCGAGCAGGAATTCTTTCGAGGGCCCTTGCGACAAGGAGAATGACGAATGCTCGAAGAGGTGACCGCAACCGAGATAAAAGAGTTCAATCGCCTATATCGGTGTCTGTTGCGCCTTGGCACGTTGCGGATCGAAACCGGATGCCGCGACAACGACCGCCATTCGACCCGACCCGAGCGCGCGCCGCCCGTTGGGCAAATAAATTTCCCGCCGGCGGAAAAGTCGATTCCGGGAGCGATATCGATTTTGACCCCGGCGCCAATTTTTTTCTCCATCCGTGTCGCGCAGGCTCGTGGTTCGATTTCGCACGAGTGCCCCGGACGATGGGAAGATGCACGTGACTCGAAACGTCGGGGAAACGCGAGTCGTCCGCGGTCCTTATCGTCGGCTCCGGGGTCGCGTCGGAGGGTAGTCAAGGGGCGATCACCGAAAGCTCTTCCTCCGTGACAACGAGACATTAGCCCCGTCGGTCGCCGATCGCTTCGCGAGGGAAACGGCGTAACGCGGAGTCCGGCCGGGAGCAAAACTCGAGGCGGATGGTCTCCGCCGGTCGGACTCGGTTAATGGTCGGCGGACTCTCGTTATTCTTATAGGTGATACGCCCGTCTCCCGCGACCGACCACGAATAAATTATCATTGTGCGCGATTATCGCGGCCTACGTGGAGTGGGATGGGCGGTCTTAACTGCGACTAGTTAACGCCCATGTTTCATGCGTTGCGTTCACTATGCGCCTTTGGCTCGGCCGACGATACGCATCGGTCGCGACGCATTAGCATATTCAGCGTTAAAGATTTTCGCGCTGATTGAAATGTCGCAACTCGACGGCGGCGCGAGAGAGCGGTTCCGCGGTTTCGAGAAGGACGTTTCTCCGAGATCGCGCCGCGGTCCCTTTTCGACCGGCGGGTCGACTCGGCGAACGCGACGGCGATTAACGATTCGGGATATAAACGGCGGATTCGTAATTGCGCCGCTCCTCGCGGCGGACTCTCGCGAAAAAGTCAGAGTGCACGAATTACGCCGCGGGATTCGATTAAAACGCGACCGAGCTCTCTTTCCCATTGGCTCTATAATCTCGTTTCTTTTCCGACGTTTTATTTCCTAAAGAAACCAGCAGAAACTGCGCCCGACCGTGCGGAGGTAATTACGCCGTCACGGCACTTTGGCAGCGGGATTTAATTGAAAAGTTAATTGAGAACATAATCAGTTCCATTATCACTGCTGGCCGATCGCGTGACGTAGGCCCTGTAATAACCGTATACCGCGAAATTTTATAATATCGCCTAATCGGAGGAAGAACTCGACCATTGGTCGACCCACCTCGGTCGGGCGCGTCGGACCGTCCTCGAGCTGGGCTTTCGTCTCGAATCTCGCAACGAGCGCCACGATTTTCTCCGCGGTCGAATTTCAAAGGGCGCCGGCGCCTCCAATGGACGCGTCCAAGGTAGTCGGTTAATAACGAAGCGGAAGCTCGGAAGAATAATTTATCGCGTCGCAGGGCGGCACGGCTGTGACAAACGTTCGCGGAGAGGGCACGCGCGGGCGCCAAGAGAAAACCGGAGAGGAAGACGGCTCGGAGGCGTCCGCGCGAGGGCGCTTACCGCGAGATTCAACTCGGCAGGGTTACGCCTCGATCGGCGCCGCGATCAACATCCCGATAAATAATGGTAACCTTAATTATGCTAATGAGCGTTTCGAGTCGGTCTTTGGCGGCACCGGTGACGCGGCGCGTGGGCGCGAGGGGATGGCTCGAGATTCGACGTCGAGCGAGAGGAACCGCGGATCGATCACGCGCGACACCGATGCAATCGATTTCGGCCCGTGACCGGTCGGCCTAATCAAAATTCACCTTCGAAGGAAACCGAAGCCTCGTTGCTTTCTTATTTTGCCAATTTCGCGCGGTAGAACTCGAGCAAAAGAAACCCTCGATGCATTATACATGTCGCCGATGCGACCGCGGCCGCTTCGGGATTGCGTACGAGTCGCGACGCGACAAAGATGCGACCTTTCCCTACTTTCGAGTTATACCTTCAACGAGAGGCGCAATCGCGGGAGACGAGCGATCTCGAGTCGGGATCCGAGCGTCGTTTTTTCGGGCCGGGCCGTCGAGACGCTCCTTGCGGACGAAAGTCGAAGTCACGCGAGGCCGGACTCTCGATGATGATAAATGCTTCCTGGGTAGCCGGTGATTTATGCCGTCATTAGGAATGGTCGCGCGGACCTCCCGCGTGGGCGGTGCATAACTATCGCTACCAGCTCCTCGGTGCGTTTTCCTCGCGCGATGCCCCAAGTCGGCCCGCAAAAACGTAGTCGACGATCGCGCCGTAAAATCGGCCAGTTAAGAGCGCACCGACCGACGGGACTCCGAGAACTAGCCAAACGAGCTTCGAGCGGTCCTTTAAGCGGATCTCTAACGAGATTCGGACGTCTCCGGAAGAACGCGATGCCTCGGCGTCGCCGATCGCCGCGGAATCGCGTCCCGAGGAAGAATATAAAAGAGCGATCGGGAGCTCGTAAACGTCGAGAGCCATCTTCGACGTCTCAATCTTTTGACGATCGCCCCGACGTTTCTTGCGAACTCGTCCGATTTCTCTCCCGACCTGTCGGAGTGCCTCGGAACTCTCGAAAGACGGGTTCGTGGGAGGATTATAATTTTTCGAAGGTCTTCGAGTATCCGCGCGTCCGCAATTAGGGAGAAAGGTTTCGAGTACGGGCGCTTCCGCGAGTTCGAAATGTTCTCGGTCGGGGAAAGTATGCGGCTACTTCGCGTTACGTAGGACCGAGGATCGTGACGGAGGGAAATTAAGACCTTACTCGAAGGTGTTCGTTAAGATGAATCACGCGAGAAGACGTATGGCTGCGGTGCATTTCGCTGCCGCCATGACTCGCGAGGTATCCCGCTTCAGCGATCGTTCTTAAGAATTAATAGACGCGTCCAACTGGCGCATCCTCGATCCTCTACCGATAGCGCCGACTTCGCGTGAGGTCTCCCCTTCGGTCGCCTCCGAAACGACCGTCCAGCCGGTTCGATTTGGAGGGAACTGGCGCCTCCACTCGGCTTTGCGTAGCGAGAAATTTCAGATAGCGGCGGTAGTTGGCCCGAACCACGGGGGCCGCGCTCTTAAAGTATATTTTTTCGCTGAATTTTCTTAACGCGGAAACAGGTAACGCAGCCAGCTTGCGAATAACCGTTTCGCCTCCTCCCTTTTCCCGGTAATTCCCCTAGGGGATTATCCGGCAACCGGCGACATTATGGAACCTGCATTGTGTGCCTATCGGTGCAACTGCACCTCCACCGTTCTCCAAAGTACATGCAACCGCTGCGCAAAGCCACTCCAAGCGATTAGCACCTTCGTTTGCGGAGCCCTCCCCCGATAATGCTCCTCGAATAACGCGAATCACCGCCAAAGATTGTTTTAGCGAATCGATTAATTGGCGGAATTTGCCGCAGTTCCCTTGACTTTTAATTACCCGTAGGCGACCGAAATGAGTTTCGGAAGTTCGGCAAGCGTTATCGGCATTCCGCAAATAAACGGTGATTTCGCCGTTTTAAGCATTTCGAGCCCGGCACGTTCAGGTCGAAGCGACGAAAATTCTTGTCCGTCGTATCGCGAAAGCGTCGTCGGTCGGTGGTGAGCCGGTTCGCGAACGTTTCGGCTCCGCTCGAACGTCGGAAAACGATTCGCGATGGATCGGTCGGCAGCGCCGTTACGAGCAAGGAAATTTCAATTACGGAACGAAATCCCCCACGCTTCGCCGCACAAACTTCCATGACTGTCCGGTGGGTCTTCGAATCCCATTTTTCTCGGCGCAAACGATGTCCGTTAAAGCAAAGTAACCGCGACTCCGTTCCACCGACCACTGATTTATCGGACGAGCTGCCTCGGAAACGTCCTTCCGCGGATACCGGCGGACCGGACCTTAAATCAGTTAGAGGAGAATTTACCGGTTACTCGTTGCACCGAATTAAGCTTCGCCGACCTCTTGGAGCGACCTCGAACTCGTCGCGGACGCGCGACGGTCGAAGCGAGGAATAAATATTCAGCTCCTCGGATGACTTTTTGCCGGGCGAGGTCGTCCTCGTCTCCGCCGATCCGCGACAAGACAAACAAATAATTCATCCGAGCAATTTAGCTTTTTCCGCGCTGACTGGCAGAGACGCGCGTGGCGTACGCTCCTCGAGTTCGACGTAATCGCGTTTAAGTCGAGTTCTCCGAGTCGGTCGAAAACGAAGTCGCCGCATCCCGACCCACTTTCGCGCCGGCCGAGTTCGGAATCGGCTCAACGGAGCCCGAAGCGGGTAGACGGCGGAGGGGCGAGTCGCGAGAGCAGAGGTTGGCTCACGTGGGAGGAAAGGATCAATTACCCCGGAGGATATGCAAGTTCCGCGAGTTTCGCGGAGAAAATTGAGCAATTACTTGGCATTGCGTGAGAGCCGGGCGTCCATAAGGCAAACGTAGCGGACGGCCGGTACCGCTCGATGGGACACCCAACGCGATGCTGCCGTACCATAAATACGCGGGCGAGCGCGTACACTCCCGTGCGTGTACGCGAGTGCATGCGCTCGCGACTAGGTGCGCCGCCATAAATCTGCCAAGCCGTGGCAAATTAAATCATTATCTGGAAGCTGCGAGCAAATTGCGCCGATGCATGCCCGCCCCTCTTCCCTGGGCCCGCCGTTCATTTTTTTCCTTTCATCTCCCGCGAAACGTTCGGGCGATTTTACGTCCGCGGGAACTCGGGAGTTAAAGATCTCGCCGGAGATCGCGACGTCTCCGAGAGAAGGGTTGGACGAAATTCCGCCTACCGCGAAATGCGCAGGGATGCGAGTCGGTGAAGTACGGCCTTATATGCCATGCGGCATCGACGTTCCGAGTCTCTCCCTTTCGGTTAGTTAATTCTTCGTTAGCGTGCCCATTGGAAAGTTAATACGGAGCACCCGGAAGCGACGCGAGTCGACGCGAATGGCCTCGCTACGGCGAATCGTCGATTCCGCCTCGCGAAAGGAGGCCGCGAAGCGCGAAAAACGCGATCCGGCATTGTTTCGCATTCGAGTGCGGGTACTTTGGGGCGTCGAGGACGCAACACTCACCAGACCGTTGCAGGCTGAAAGAGCGACCCGCGAATTGGGATGATCCTTGACGAAGCCCCGGTAATGGCATCGGCTGGAGCGACTCTTCGCAGGGCCGCGAACGTGAATGTCGCGTTTCCGTCTCTCGACCACCAATCGCGGCCCGATAAAGTCATCGACCGCTTCCAGCTGGAGATGGTACTCGGTCCCGGCCACCGTCAGCCTGTAATGGACTTCCGAGCCGTCGTGGTCGTGGTGGTGGGTCACGTTGTGGGACATAAGGTCGCCCTCCGGCGTCACCTTCCGCGGCACCACCACCTCGTGGCGGTGAGGATAGTTCGGCGACGTGTACAGCCCTAAAACGCATCAAAAGATTCGCTCAGGGTCAGGGGAGGAACGCGCGTCGACCCGGGGACCGCGATTTCGTTCACAAAGCGGGGCGTCTCGACGCCGGGACGATGAACGTCTCGGGGCGCCGATCGAAACGCGTTCGGCCACCTTCGCGCGGTAATTCCGGTGCAGGATGTTGCGGTAACAGGACGTGCCTACCACAATGGCGCCTTTAACCGTACGTATAGTTCGCGCACAAGCTATGCGGCCGAGATAAATGGATGGCGCGACCTTAAACCGAGGCGGTGCCCGTTAATAACGTCTCCTAATAATGCTGCGATTCGCCGTTTCGGACGGGACCGAGAAGGAACCGGGATTTCGCCGGGCCGTCCCACGTGCCGATTTCGAAGCGAGCTCGTCCGCGTCCTTTTCGATACGGAGAAATGTTCTCGTTCTCGTTCGCGTTCCCGTTCGCGTTCCCGTTCCCGGTACTCGGTGCATATTCATGCCGAGCCCTCTGGAACGCGCCGAAAGGCCATCGAAGGAGGTCCGGGAACGGGCGAGAGCTCGGTCCACAATGGGCATACTAATTTTCCCTTGATTTAGTGTCTCCGGCCTCGCGGTGAATTACGATAGCGCGTAAGGCCGACCGGCGGTGTCCGCCATTCAATTAGCGCACTCGTTAAGTGCCGGTATCGGGCCGGCCGGCGTTTTATGCGCGTCCTGCCGCGTCAACGGGGAGCGACCGGCTCCCGCCGAGAGATCGATACTCGCCCTGCCGCTGAGGGCAATGCTTTATAAAGTGCTAATTACCGCGGCAATTATTTTAATTGCGGGGATTCCGAGCGTACGCGCCAGCGCCTCCTCCGGGAGATACGTCGATTTCGCCCGAGGAGGAGGTTACAATGTTATTACGGTAATTAGCGGCGGAGGGCGCACGATAAATGCCCGGCTAATTATCGGCATACCTAAGATTTATCCGAGTGCCGGCGACCGTCCGACATTGGCCGAAGGGAACCCACCTGGCCGACTTCTGCTTCGCGGAATAAATCCCTCGAGTGCGCAATCCCTTGGCGAGCTAGTACGGCGAGCTGGGACGGCGAGCGAGGACGTCGAGCGCCGCGGGGCGGGATGAACGGACGGCGAGGAGTTCTCGGTCGCGTTATCGACGATCGCGACGTCGTCCCGAGATTCGAGATCTCGCGATCGAAATCTCCGGATGGATACAAATGGACGTATTTGTAGAACATCGCTCACGGTTTCGCAACGATTCCATCGATGCTCGCCCGAGAACAAACAAGCGTCCTTTCGATTGTAATCCACGCGGATAAACGCTCGTAATTATCGCGGTGGGACGTGATTTATTTAGCGGCACGCGTCGGATTATAAACGACTGGACGCCCGGCCGATAAATGTATTCGCCGGTCAGCGAGTACGTTCTTAATCGCGTAATTTCGGACCGTTTAATAAATCCGACCTGTCGCGCCTTGACGCGAAACTAGCGAGCGAGTCGTGCCGAGCACGAAATTCCCTTGATCAGGAGCACGTCTAACACGTAAATCCCAAGGATCTCGCGCAACGGGGAAATCTCTAAATCACCGGAAGAATGATAAAAATCGCCTCCCTGGATTCGCCTGGACGCGGAACGTCGGAGCCACCTCGGGGCATCGATTTTCCGTGGCCTCTCGTGACGAAATTATTGTGGACTTCATTAGAGTTATCGCGATGACTATGACGAATCGAGCCGGCGTTGGGCTTTCGGATGATTTGTCAAGATCGCGGGGTGCAATAAATCATCCCGCGGAATAAAAGGGAGAGGCGAGGTCGCTCGACGCCGGAGATTTCGACTCGCGCGTAGCCAGCTAACGAACGGCGCGAACACCTAAGGGACCGAGTTACCTGTACCTAGGCACGAGATATCGCTTCCGGGATATCGACGAGCCGGATTCGTTCGACTCGGCTCGACGACGCTTTAACGAGTGCTCTCGGTCGCGGTCCCGGTGGATGGTATACGCTCTTCGAGCTGCAATCTTGCGACCGGGCATCCGCGTAATATCGTTTGCCCGATACTTTACGCCCCGACCGATCCCGTATAACATTGTCCGGGGCCACCGATAATCGGCCGAGCCCGCAACGGACCGGTCGTTTACCTCTCGCGTAATGATTTCAGAACACGGGGGTGACGTTGGATCTTGCCACGACTAACCGGAATGCTCCGTCGCCGTTTACCCCCACTCCTCGTTACTCCTACCGACCGGGGCCGTTTCTCCCGGATCGGCGATAAGGAGTCGAGCGATCGATAGGGACCGGTAGGGCTCGTTACTTCGCGATCCCCATTAGAGCGCCCTGGGACCTTCCCATCCTATACTCGAGTATATTTATCGGCTACGAGGTCCTCCGTCGCACTTTTCGAGAAGGCTCCGAGTATCCGACCGGACGGGACATCGATGAATCGAGCTCGGACGAATTCGGGTCTCGAGGGAGTGCACGAGCGTTTCGAGATCTATGAGCCCCTGCCAGAGATTCGCGGATCGAAGCGTGATTCCGATTCGGCCAGTTACAACTGGTTTCCAATTGGGATTTCCATAGAGCCGTAAAGTATCCGCCCTTCCATTAACCGTGCACGATATAGGCACTGAACGCAAGTTATAGGGGACTCGTATAATTCCTCGCGGCGACCCGTGTCCGATGGGCGTCCCGAATTTCGGCGCCCCTCGATGGCGCTTCTTTGGGAGTAGACGGCGAATCGAGTTATCTCCGATCGTTTGAAAATCGAGAGGGACGGATAGAGAGCTCGAAGGTGCCACCGAAGTAACCGATGCTCCTTTCCGCGAGAACGGGTACAATGGTCGATGCGTTCGCTTTACGCGCTTTAATGGTTGACATACGGTCGTAATGGTAGATGCGCAAGACGCGTGTACCAGCGAATGGGACGGGGCAGCTCTCCGGCGTATAATCACCATTATCCCATTACCATTAAACGCGGAAAAATGGCGGATCTACCAATGAGCTCGCTCCGGGAACGACTCAGGGTTAACTGCAGGAGGATCCTAGATGGTAACGCGAACCTCCTATACGTCGGAGCTGGCCTATGTGGGTTAGGCCGGTGGCGTGTACGTCGGTAGTGGTCGCTGCTCGCAATTATAACGTAATCGATGATACGCGGTATCGTTGTTTAACATAATTACGCGGGACTTATGCGCGGGGGGGCTATTAATTAGACGCTGCTCGGCGCGGCTCGACGACGCGCTCTCCAAAAGCTCGAAAGCACCCTCTCGCGGCTTTTATGCGCCCACCCTGGATTCATAATTCTTCTCTTTGATTCCACCAGAGCTCGACTCGCGATGGGAGAAGACGAGATCTCGAGTGCCTCCGCGTAATTCACCGGCTGCCGCTCCTTCCGACGTCGGTCACTCCTCGACTTCTGAGAGTTCGCGCATTCCGTTGACGCAAACGTCGGCGGATTTAGTCCGGGTGCTTCGAGAACCGGCGTGAATCTCGCCGACCGATCTCCCACGCGGAGGAATCCGCAAGTATCCCCGACCGACCGGACGAAATTTCATGAATGACCCGGCGTAGTGGTTCGCCCTGGAACCAGTTTCCCGAGTGACTCATCCCGGCCCGATACTCCTTGTCGGGATCTTATTCCTTTTGCGATACGGTTGCATATTTCGCATTAGCATACGGCCGTCTTCCAGGCTGACCGTCGGGAACGCTTAACCGTCTCGCGAGTTTGCGGATTTCCGCCAACTTTCGGTCAAATCGCCCCGTGAACGGAAGCGGAAGATATCCTTAAATCGGGATTACGGGGCGCAACGTACCTCCCCTCGACGGGACGAGAAAAATCCTTGCATCGCTGCGAAAGCGAAATTTCTGCCCTCGAGCTCGCACCTCGAGGACAGGTGCTCGAACCGATGAGCGATGCCACCGCTCGGTATTTCGCGTGTAGCTCGTTAATTTCCGGATGCGAGGTGCGCCCGCGGTTCCTTTCAATAATAACGTCCCCGCGATTTATGCGCCGCTCATTCGAGTCTATTAATAACGTTCATCGCGTATCGCGCGGTTTTCCGCCGTGGGTCCGACGCGACGTCGCGAAGAATGAGCCCTGTATCGACCAGAAAGGACAATTAATCACCGCGTACAACTTAATTATTGTCCGCACCTTCTTGCAAATGCGGCACGCAACGGCGCGCAATCACGCATCCGCATGAAATATGTATACCTTCGCGTGTCCGCTGCGTACACAGCCAGAAATACTTTCGCTGAAACTTACGTCAAGTGCGACCGAGGCGAACCTCGCGGTCGAACGACTTTTCGGCTCGAGACGAGACGTGCGACGATTCGAACGATTCCAACTTCCGACGGACTTTATTCCTCTTTTCGCTCGACTTCCGTCACGGCGAGGAGCCTCCTCGCGACCGAACCGGGTGCTTGGTTAATAAAGCAGCGCGAACGAGCGGTGTCTCGATGACGTCTCGATAATGTCGTAAATATAGTTTAACGTGGTTACGGTTCGGACCGCACAAAAGAGGTCAACCGCGTTATTCAATCGACCAAATGCCACGGGATAAATACCGCGACAGCGGAAGTCAAACTCAAGTAACAAACGTTCCCTTTTCAGCCAAGCTCAGAAAAGCGTCGTGCCGAGGCACTCGGCGCGCGCGAGCGGGAAATTAATAACAAATAGTACATCATAAACTCCGCTCCGGCGGAGCCTTTAATCATTTCTCGACGTTGCAGAGTGGCCCGATTTATTACACGTCGGCTCGGCGTTACGTTAATGCTAAGCAGCGACGCGTTAATCCCTGTCCAGTGCACAATGCCAATTCGCAATTTCACGATTCCCTTCTCGCCGTGGCCATCGGCGAGGGCCGCGAATAAGAGCCTTTCCTTGCCGACCCTTCCGTTCCGATTCCGGACAAGACCGCACCGAGGCGAAATTTGCTTTTCCGACCGGAGAGACTCCGCGAGCGCTCCTTGGCGGGGAGATCGATCGAGACGACGTCGGACACGGCGCGTAACCGAG